TATATATATATATATATATATATATATATATATATATATATATATATACACATATATATATATATATATATATATATATATATATATATATATATATATATATATATATATATATATATATATATATATATATATATATATATATATATATATATATATATACACACGGGGTGGGCGGGTTAGTCACTTTTTTAATGACTCTGCAATATGCAACTATCGACCATAATAACTGTGTTGACAACGATTTTAACTTGGGCTTAGCAACATTTTTAGTTCTATTTAAAAATTTTCATATGTCTGTCTGGATTTTTATTATTCCTTGTTAATTAAATAGTCCTAAACATAGTGAATACATCCCCAGGGAAAACCAAGGATGGACACTCTAAGATAATCTAAATATCTAATAAAAAAAACTTGTAGTACGATGAATTCAAATACACCCTTTTATACTCTATTTCTATCGTCGTTTATGAATTTTGGGAATTTTGAATAAACTGGGATATTCTTTGCAGAATCTCCTCAACCCCCGGAATCTTTAAAAACTCCTCTAAGTCAGGAGTTTTCGTAATACAGAATTCTCATTGCGCATGCGTATATGTACAATATCTGCGTCCCACAAGCATTACAACAACTTTAGTAGAGTGTAATTATATCGGGAACGTGTTGATGTCCACTCAGCTTGTTAGAAGGAATATAATGTGGGGATAAATATATTAGCAAAGTATTAAACTGTAAAAATGTTCTTAAAATGCTGATAAACATTGGTTCCACTCTCGCGACTAGTAAAATAGTAAACTGTGAAATTTTTGCTAAAACGAAGTGTAACCATTGGTGTACATTTGTTAAATTAGATTATAACTGCAGATGATTAATTTGAAAATATATCTTGGTGACGTCATGGGTGGAACTCTACTGCTCCATCCGTCCCAGAACCCCCTTCCCTATACTACTGGGGAGACTATGTTATCTTTGCAACTTGACTGACTATAATCTGAAGGGTATGGCTTTGCATTTGAGTTTTAGTTTTGTTTCAAACGTAAACAAGGTCACAAACATCCGAACGAAGGTCAATGCAACAGAGTATATGAAATATTTGTTTAATTGCAAACGTTTTATGTTCATTTTAAAACTCCATAATCGTAATGTGCAATCTACCCTGGGATTATTCTAAGGTGCAGTGATAACCAATTCGTGCAGTGATAAATGAGATTTGTGCCGTGATAAATTAGATTATGTGCAGTGATAAAATGCGATATTGTTCAGTACCAGAAATTGGCAACAAAATGACTACTGCTTGTATACTAATTTGCATATAATCCATATGCAATGACTTTCAGTTTTTACTGGGAATGTACAGGGTGAAAATATTTAACTCTAACTTATTGCAATCTGAGAGCTCGGCTACTGTTTGCCTACCTCTTAATCAATAAAGCATTCATGCATTTCCAAATTTTCAGTGGCATATTTATTCCGATCGGGTGTCTCTCCTAGCAGCCAAGTCGTGTTCAAGAAAATCACTTTTATGTCATCTTCGTAAGGTTAAGCTGCTGCCGAGCGATTTTGTTTTGAGATTTTTGACACTGTTTTTTTGGCAACAGTTTATAGATTAATCTATTTCATGCAGAGTGGGAAAGACTAGATCTTGATCAATATTGCTTGGTGTTTTGCATGCAATTCAAAAAATATGTGAAAATGTGTATATTTTTGCATGAAATGGAATATGCAGAATGCAGATTAATTTGGGCTCATTAGCGGTCATTTGGACTCATTTGCCTGCACATAATTAGTGACATGCATGGGGTAAACTTTGAAGTTGCAGAACCAGAGTACATATACTAGCTCATGCAGGGCAGTCAGAACGTTTTCTAAAATGTCTCTAATATCTATAAATTTTATTATTTTCGCGCTTTTCTGCAGTGATACAACTTCCTTAGAATAATCCCTGTGTCTACCAATCTTATGACTCACTTTTACCTAAAATATGTTCTCGATTTGTTTCGCAGTTGTTTCGCAGTTGACTGGGAATAATTAGCACTGTCGAATCGTGAAGTCATGTGACCAAAATAGTGAAACAATTTGATCACACGATTGAACGGAAATTGCATTTGGAATTATCAAACGTCTTTTCCCGTTTGAAATTCTTAGTGGGTATGTTGACAGTTTAGTGCTTTTCGTAATAATTCAGAAGTTTATTGAAAAATCATGCCAACCATAATATGTCACGTGCAGTGGCTTTAAACCTGATAAAACAACCCAAATTAGTATTCTTTGTATAAAGAATACCAATAAGGCAGTAACTATTGTAGTCGTGTCCTCATTAGTATTCTTTAATACAAAAAGAATATTAATAAGGCAGTGTATTATTTTATTGAATTTGTAGTCGTGTTTGAATCCGTTTAATAAACGAGCAGGAGTGTTTTATTAGACATGGCCAGAAATCACGGACATTTTCGTTTCTCAGGTTTCACGTTACCACGAGCACCCACGCAACAATGGCTGCGCAATGCCCTATGTTTATTATCAGGCGAGCGGAGTATTTTCAATATAGCATGCTATATATAAATCTTTGAATATTTGTTGAAATTGGTTCCAGAAGAAGCGGTCGTATAGTAACACATTAAGAAAAATAGTTCTCATTTCTTTGCATACTCGCTCTGCTTTTTGCGATTGAATATTACAACATTTTACCTCACTTTACATAGGAATCTATAAAGGTTTCTCGCTCAAAAGACTATATCTCGTAATATATTCAATTATCGAAATTTGTTGAAATCATTTTATTTTGACGAATAGTATAGCCTTGCCTTCCACCGTTTATTATTTTGTTACATCCGATAAAAGCTCTGCTTTTTTGTTTTGTAATTCGCAAGCCGTGCGTTAATATGCATATTATAATATTACATCGCGGTCGAAAAGTGATATTCCATTCGCGTTTCAAACTCGAAATATTGATTGCCTTGCTACATGTTTGGTACCAAAATACTCGTCGAAAGCTTCTCTTTTTGTTCCCGTAGTCATTGCTTAGCTACATCCTGAGCCTGGTAAACTAAAGGCCACAACTTGAGTGCATACTTCATACTTAGCTTTATAAACAACACCCACGCGAATATTTGAAATTCCGGATGCTTTGATAGGTCGTAAAAGGATAATTAGGAATTCTTGTGGATAAACGGAAAAGCCGCTGACTGACTGGTACGCTTGCACAATGTCCGTCATTTCTGGCCATGTCTAAAGCCATGACTCGCGCTGCGCGCGCGTGGGTTTAAACATAATAAAACACTCCTGCTCGTTTATTAAACACTATATATCGCATAGTATTTTACTTTGTCAACTTTTGGGGGCTTTTAATTAAGATCAGGGAAAATTCGAGTTCAAAAAAATAGTATTTACAGTGAATTTATGGAACCATTAAACACTCTATTAAATTCATTAGTGGCTTCATATAGTGCCCCGGATAAATTCAGTAGAGTGGCTAATGATTTCAATAAACTGGTGTGAATTCTAAATAATTTTCTTCAATACGCGTTCTCCTTGAGCTTCAAAGTCCCAGCGGTTGACAAATGAAAACACTATGCGATATATAGTGCATGCATGCGAATATACCCTCGACGAGGATTGGCTGAGTGGGTTTTGTTATTGTCTAAACATATTTAACCCTCAAAATCGGCCGCTAGGCATTTTAACCCTCTAAGGTTATTTGTGGCGGGCAGAAACACTACAAAATTTAAATTTAATATTATGTAAACTGGCAGATTAAAAAAGGAGATAAATAAATACCTTTTCTTCTTATTATTTAAATGGAAGACATGCCTTTCAAATTATAGTCGTTCAAATTGAAAGTTGACGTAGTTTTCCCACGTTTCAAAGTTAATAACTCTCTCTTTTTCTCTCCATGCTACAGTAAGTTATCTTCCGTAACAATATGCCGCAACCTTCGTGTGTATCGCTTTCAAAATCGTCAAAAGCAAGACAAGGTACACACGTCTATCGACTATTCGTATACACATAATTGGTTCAGTAATGCACACATATTACCAAAATTAATTAAAGTAAATTCCTTCATTTTAAAAACATTTACATCTGATTCCCCTTAGAATTTAAAATAAAAGTGTGGAGATCCTTTCGTCTGTTTAGCAATACTCTAAGACAGATAAAGAATGATCATCTGCGCCCTGCTGTATAGCCTACAGAGTGCCTCGAATTAGATAGAAGACCACTTGGCGCCAGAGCACACGTGATTATTCTCTATCCCTTTCTAAGAATTTATGGGCACAGAGTACGTGCAACCGCGTTATTAAAAAAGTATTCCGCCGGATATCGTTCGTACTTCTTCTCATGTAAACAATAATATGAATCAGTTATGATGCATAACTTAAGGGCTGTTCATCTTATTTTTGTCTGAAATGATCAAAAAGACTTCACAGCATAATAATGGGATTCGGTAAGCATACATGCATACAGGAACAAAAATCTTTCCGACATACAACATTTAAATCTGATTCCAAATTTTTTACTTTTGTTCCAAAGCTTAAATTCGTCCAGCTTTTTGGGATACTGTTGGCTTCGATTCCTACGGTTACGTCAGGTTAATTTTAAGGGACATACATCTGAAATATAACGGACATGCATTTGAAAAAGAAAGCATGATTTCGTCTGCAATGGGAAGCTAGCAAACCTTCATTGCATTTTTTTAAGAAATAAATCAAATAATACATTTGACTAGAATCTTCAAATGGATTTAATTGTTTGTTTAGTAACATGTAGCGCGTCATTTCTGTGGCAACGGATCGTCATATTTTATGCCGTTACTGATAGAAACAAGTTTTAAGAAAGGTTTCATAATCTAACACCGACGTATTTCTTAGTATTAGTTCAATCTTTATATAGGACGTGTATTCCTGCCGAAGCTGAACCAACACTGAACTCGAGTTTGTGTTACCCTTTGGTAAACTTTACCCGTCCTTTTTGTCAAAATCATGGAATCACTTTACCCAGCTACGTGTACAACACGCCCCAGTATCAGAGTTGGAAAAATGATGAAGGCAACAAAGATTTCGACGGAGTTGAGAGGTTCGGTCTATTTAAAATAAGCGCCTATCTTGACGTAGACATCACTACCGTTAGAAAGTGCTTGCAAATTACCACCACGTGGTTTTGTCATCAATATTTTCCGAGTTGTGATGGAACGCAAAGCGTCTTTATGGAACAAAAAATTTGTCGTGAATCCTGTCTTGAATTGATTCATATTTGTCATAAAGCGTGGAAAATGTCTTTCACATATTATACAATTCGCTTCCCGGAGGAAAGGAAGTTTCTCCTCTGCGAACTACAGCCGTATAGGAATGCAGGTGACTCACCAGAATGCCGATATTTCAATGGACTCGCGAATTCTACAGGTAACATTAGAGACGTTGGCATGTAGGAAAGCAACGGGTCGACCACGGCCAAAACAAAACTCCTTCAAATAACTAACTACAACTTTAATTAAGGTGGCTCCTTACAGTTTACCAGAAAATGCAAGATCTCCAATTTAGATCCAATTTTTCGACAATTCCTATATGTTAATTTAATTAAGACAAAGAAAGTCCGAATAAAAAATAATAATTACAGACTTATCAATAACTACCGAGTTCCAGAAATCGTAACTGGAGTTGCTATGGCAACATTGACGCTTCAATATGGCCGATATTTTGGCTTTTAAGTTATTTAACTTGAAAATAAAGTCAGTTTAGGATTTTGATTCGTTGTTATATGATTTTTAAAAAATCAGCCATGCAAAAAAAAATTCACCAATTATTACATTTTTTAATTATTACATTATTGACATATTTTTTAAAATCATAAAAATGATTCAATAACCTAAATAAAAGTCATGCAGTAAAGTAAAAAAGGGGGCCACTGACCTTATTTTCGAATTAAATTACATTAAACAAAAAATAACCGCCATTTTTGAAATTTCAGTGTTGCCATTTCAAGTTGTGAGGAGTAAATTCTTAAAAATTCCAAACTCCTTAGCAGGACGAAGGGAGAGAGGGCGTGGAAACGGCAATACATCGAGCGTCCCCATCCGTGATGCCGGCTTCGCCGGGCGTAAGACGTTCTAATTGTAAACAAATATGGCTACGCGTATATGACCCATCAGAATGTATGCTGATTCTATTGCTTTATAAAATATTAGTTGTGTAAAATTTATATGTTTTTGTTACTTTTAGCTATTATAAGACACTTAAAGATAAGATTTAAGTAGCGAAAAACTTCATTTCGTGTGTTATTTTATTTCTATACTCTGTTTAATTTGGGTGTTTAAAAATGGCCGTCGAAATGTTGTAAGAGATTGTTAGCGCGCACTGCTTCCTGGTAAAAAACCAATCATTTCCAAAGGCTAAATTATAATTTGTTATTAAGTTATGATGAAAACCTTTGCGTAGACAAAATTGTAGAGTGAGCAGACACGAGACAGATAGGTTTTGAACCTTTCAAAGTTCGATGCCGAATTGACAGTTGAAATAGTACCAAACTCCATGCTGAAATGTGCAACTTTATCGTGTATATTTTTCTCAATTTTGTTTACTGGCCTTTGTTAAATTCACTTGCAATGGCTCGACATACGTTAGAAGATACAAACTGAGCAGAGCCCATGAAAAAGCTATCCATACCCCTACAGTCATTCAGCTTCCTTGCTATTTAGAAGTGGTTGCCCATTACTGGTTTTAGTTGAAGTAAAATTGCTATTGTATGCGCTTGTTTGCACTTCCTTTCCTGTTAAAGGCTACAATATTAAGGCTAAATAGCAGAGAAATATGACCCAATAATCCATGCAATTAAAAATATCTATCGAATTAACTTCAAAAGTCATTATTTGAGGAATTATATCTATTCAGGCAACCCATAATTTAGTGACAGGTCTTGGCAAGGTGAAAGCTGAAAGGAACCCCTAAGATGGATGTACTACAACACTATATTAACTGGAGTTTTCGAAACATTTAACTTAATTTTGAAGGATTGACTCACAAACTGTGATGCAGTATCATTGGATTTTACACTTTTCTGGAGAAGTTGTGGCTATGTTAGTGCCATTTCTTTCATTGTTTATATATCTTGCGTTTAAACATTGCTCACTATAAAAATCTTTCAATTCCTTAATCTCATCCCACGATACTGAATCACAGTTTGTAAGGCCCCATTTAAATGAGACCAGGATGAAACCAAACTGTAATGAAAATTGAAATTGTCAACATGTTTACATGAGACCGGTATGAAAATCACAAAATTTTCAATTTATTCCCCTTGCCAGGCAATTTTCTTTTTAGATGGCTTTTGTTAGCATGTGTTATTCACTTGTTCCAATGTCAAGGTTACATCCGAGACCGGTCTGAAATGTATTTGTGTTTCCATTCATTCCGGTCTGAATTCATGCTAGTCTGAAGTCAGTCGGCTTGGTCCAGCAGGCGGAATGACTTGAGACTGGTCTGAGTTATTTTTGTCCTGGTCCCATATAAACATCCATTATATTTAAAATTATGACTGGAACGAAATAGTCCCGGTTAATTGACTTCGTTCCAGTCTTATGTGAATGGGACCTAATTAAATCCTTCAAAAGTTGGCTAAATTTTTCCAAAACTGCAGTCAATATAGTTTTGTAGTACACCCATCCCAAGACCTGTCACTAAATTATGGGTTGCCTGAATAGATGTAATTCCTCAAATCATGATTTTTGAAGTTAATTTGATAGATATTTTTAATTGCATGGATTATTGGGTTATATTTCTCTGCTATTTAGCCTTAATATTGTAGCCTTAATATTGTAGCCTATTGTAGCCCACTTCCATTTCACATGTTTCTGCTCTACATCTGGCTCACCTATTTTTAAATTTATACAATACGTCACTCAATTGTTGTTATTTAGAAACGGTATAAACTTTGCACATATTTACTTGTTAATTTCAATACAGGTCTCAAGAAAGACTGCATGCATATTTAGATCGTAGCGTCTTTGATGACTTTCGGGCAGCAAACATCACACATTTGGACACTAGCCAAATAGACATTGAATGCCCACAATAGACATTGAATTAATTCTAAAATTATTTAACTTTATAGACTGTTTATATGCTATTGGTTTTATTTAATTGAAAGCATTGATAATTTATATTAAACACTAGGTTCTCTGCTATTATTCATTTGCATTCACGGGAAAGCTATAAAAAGCGGCGCAAATCACTATTGAATTATATAGAATTATTTTACTCGTGCAAACAAGAAAGGAAAGGAACACAGTAATTTTCTTATAAGTTGTGTCGATTCTCTAACAATTTTTGTACCAAGTATTAGTAGTGTACCTTCCTACAGAGGTTTTAGCGAAGTATTTTTATCACAGTGGAAAATGTCTCTACATTTTGTGAGGAATATATACATAATTATGAGCTCTATACTCAGTGCAGGCACAAAATGCCGCACAGACATATGATAGCATTACTTCATGAGTTTTTATACGTATTTTAACATTTCTATTGATCGGCTGTTTTTCTCTAGTGCCGCATTATATTGGTGTGTCACAACAGGGTTGCATGCTTTTATTTGAAAAATACAAGCTGGATCTCATGCTACTCCACGAACAAAATATTAGAATAGCCTGGATAGATTCAGCTACAAAACCAATGACAATGTATATAATACATACGAAATTTTTCATGCAACTAGTAAATACGAAACGTTTCGAGATATTTTGTTGCAAATTTAAATGTTATTGGCTGAAACTATAATACACAAGTTGCAATTTTCCAAGCGCGCTCCCCTGCCACCCTATACCTTATAATGACATTTTTAATTTCTCACGCGAAATCCGCGTGACAACTGACCAGCCACAACAAGGGACCTTTCTCCAAAAGAGGGAAAAGCTGGTAACAATGTTGCCTTAGTTATTGTTTAATTCAAGTCAGATAGTCTTTGCTATTCAACAAGTAATTATTATTTCTAAATAATTATTATGTCATGTCTTAATAGAAAAATCATCCATTTTCTAAAAAGTGTAGGTAGCCACCTTAAGGAATTATTGACGTATATTATGCATTATATAACGAAAAAAAACCCAAGTGTTAAGAAAAAAAACCCAAGTGTTAAGAGCGAAACCACGTATAAAAAATACAAAAATAAATTAAAACATTTAATTAAAATAACTAAAAAAGATTATTTTGAGAGTCAGTTTATTAAATACAAAAACAATGGCAAAATGACATGGCAGACCATTAATCGAATATTAAATCGAAACAATAAAAAGAAGGAAGCGCTTCCTGATACGTTTAGAGAAAAGAACTCAAATATTAATTATTCTGACCCAATTGAGATTGCAAACAAATTCAACGAATATTTTGTAAACGTTGGACCGAATTTAGCCAAAGGTATTCAACAAAATGACACAATACCATTTGAAAATTATCTCAAAGGTAACTATCGAGAAAGTATGTTTACTGAACCTGTTACAGAATATGAAATCTTGACTGAGATTGATAACTTAAATGTAACTAAAAGTGCAGGTCATGATAATATCAGTGCCAAAATGGTAAAAGCAATTAAACAAGAGATTTGCAAACCTCTTGCACATATTTTCAATTTAACTTTTGAAACTGGATTAATACCGAATACACTAAAAATAGCTCTTGTTACTCCTATTTTTAAAGCAAATGAAAAATGTCTATTTGAAAATTATAGGCCAATTTCAGTTCTCACATGTTTTTCGAAATTGCTTGAAAAAGTAATGTACAAAAGACTGATTTCATATATTGAAAAACAAAACATTTTATCTAAACACCAGTATGGTTTCAGGAAAAATCGCTCCACTGAACATGCTATTATTGAATTGACTGACAAAATCTCAAAGGCCATAGATGAAGGAAAATACACAATCGGTATTTTCCTTGATCTATCTAAGGCTTTTGACACAGTTAACCATAAAATTCTTCTAAAAAAACTAGAACACTATGGTATAAGAGGAAATTGTTTAAAATGGTTTGAAAACTACTTACATGAAAGAACGCAAATTCTTAAGTTTCGTGATCATAAGTCAAGTAAGATGACAATATCTTCAGGAGTTCCGCAAGGCTCGATTCTTGGGCCTCTACTTTTTCTGTTATATATTAACGACATTGAGAACTGTAGTGAAATAATTTCTTTTGTTATGTATGCCGATGACACAAATGCGTTTTACTCTGACAAATGCCTCAAATCTTTAATGCATGTTATGCAAAAAGAAATGAATGAAGTGACTAAATGGCTAAACGCCAATAAATTATCAATAAATACTAAAAAAACTAAGTACGTCATTTTTAAATTAAAAAATAAAAAATGTGACACTGATACTAATATTCAACTTAACAATAACATTATACATCAGGCTACTGCTGTCAAATTTCTAGGTGTAATAATAGATCAAGAACTAACATGGAAAAACCATATAAACTCAGTTGTCAAAAATATTATTAAAGCATCGGCGTTGATTGCAAAAATACGACATTATACAAACAAAAATACATTAAATGTACTTTATCATGCATTAGTTTATCCATATCTTACTTATGGGAATTTAATATGGGTAACACGTACCCAACAAGGCTGCTAAAAATACTGAATTTACAGAAAAAAATTATCAGATTGATGAACTTTAAATCTTATCTTGAACACACTGAACCATTGTTTCAAAAATTGAAAATCTTGAATATCTTTAAGATTAATGACTATTTAAGTTGTTTATTTGTGTACCGTTTTAAACATTTACAAAATCTACCTGAATTTGTTAATGACTACTTCATACAAAACAATGAAGTGCATCATCACAATACTCGGAATTCTAACAAATTGCATGTCAATTATAGTAGAACTAATTATGCAAAACATACTATTGTTAACAAGGGAGTTAAAATATGGAACTCTCTTGATAAAGGAACTAGCAATACTATGTTTTATTCTACTTTTAAGAAAAAGTTGAAAAGCTTTTTCTTGGAATATACCTAACGGCTTTCATTTGTAATCTCACATAATAAACTCTTGTGTATATTTATATTCAAATCACTATATTTGTAAATACTCTTACTTTGTCTTTGACAAGATTGAACAAGCTTTAACTATTTTTATATAATAATTAATATTGTTAAACTAGGGGCCTTTGAATAAAAGCCTGATAGGGTTTCATAAAGGTTCCTAGCCCCTAATGTTTGTAAAAATATAGATTATAAATATATTTAGCTTTATATGGGCAAATAAAAAAATATTCATATTCATAATGCAGTTTCATGAGGTTTGAACAGATGTTTGTATTTGAGAAGAATTGTACTAAGTTCATTTGTTGAGTAGCACTATATACGGTGCGAAAAGCAAGCGCTGTATAAAAGGCGTCTACCCTTTTATCTTGAAAGATAAACTACCTATTTATTTTCTACCTAAACTGAAATCTCAAATTTTTCATACCAAACGGTCATGTGGTCTGATATTCCTCCGCCACAACAATCATGAATGGACGTCATTAGTGCTCGATTGTCAGGCATAGGTGGTATGAAGGCAGCAAGCCAATAGTTTCTAGTCTAGTTTGACCATTCTCCTCTAGCCAAAGGCGCGGAGCGCCGTTCTGGGCATACGCACAGGGCGAGGGTAGTAATTCGCCCGGCTATTTACAGACGGGGAAAAGGAAACATTGGCGAAGTCAAAAACTCATCATTCTCAGTGATCTCATAATATAGCGGAATGTTATAAATATAGCGAACACTGATTGGTCCAATTTATAATTTGCATTAAAACGACTGCTTGACGACAGCGAAATGGTAAACATTACTTGATTTGATGATTTCTTGCAAACCTATTTCTTGCAAACATATTTCATCAAGGCGAAATAATTACCAAAGGCGCCGACGTTACGGATATAAGTTTGTTTTAAGTATTGATGTACTGTTTGCTTTATAATTGCTAAATAAAAAGAGACAGCATATAATTTCAGTGTATGTTTATTGATTAGCCTTTTTATTAATTAATATATTAAAATTTTTAAATAAAAAAGAAAGCAAAGTTTATTGCCATGCGAGAATTTGAAATAATTTTATTTCCAACTCAAATTCATCGATAAAGGCAGTTTATTTTTATAAAGAACATTTTAAAACATTTTTCGAGTTGTTTGTGGTTGAATTTTATCTTTGATTGAAGCTTATATTACGCATAATAACATACCTATAACATATATAGGTTTGGAAAATTGATAAATTTTAGGAGATTTTTCATTTGTGAAAATATTCTTAATAAAATTATCATGTCGTTACCATGACAACTAATTTAAATACTTCTTGATCGGAAAATACAATGGTTTTGTCAGCAAGGCGAGGGTTTCTGCATGTATGTATTTTCTGGTACAATCACAAAACTCTCTCATGTTTCCCTATGTGATGTGATGTGATGTGATGTGATGGAGTCTCTAAATAAAAAATGTAGATCGTGCGGCTGTGCATCCTTTGCAACACCCATCGCACAGTGTAAGAAGTTACCCACCTCACCTACACTTCCCAGTAACTGCATCCGTCCATTCATTGTAACTCATAATTTGTCTTATTTTAGATGCAGCTCCAGCTCCAGAATGGAGTGGAAACGCAGGTAAACAGTCCAGGGAGCATCCCCAATCAAATTTGTATTACCTTAATTTTCCAATTTCGCTAGGGCCTTGTACCTTTCAGTACAAAGCTAGGATTTTGCTATATTATCCTTTCTGAGTTTTATCTCACTGCATGGACGAAGGAAGCTTCTGACATTTTACGAAATACTGCAGCTTCTCACTCGGTAGTCCATTTTCCTACGGCAATATAACTGCATATAGAATAACCCTTTTAGGACCTCAAGATATAACTCATGATCGCATAAATGAAATGTTGAGCCAGGCTAATACTAATTTTTGTTTGCAGATTGTCTGTACTTAAATGGGAGCAGTTACCATGGCAACATATCTGTGACAGCCTCAGGTATTCCGTGTCAGTCATGGAGAGAACAATGTCCACATCGTCATACCATGAACAATACATATGCAGAACTGAATAATGCTAAGAATTATTGTCGAAATCCTCAGAACTCAGGACAACGCCCTTGGTGTTATACTACAGATAGAAACAAGAGATGGGAGTACTGCGATATCCCGAAATGTATACCAGGTATGCAAATCGATCGTGCTTTGATATCTATAGAGGTATCCGATGTATAGGGGTAATATTGCACTATGATATCCCGACATCAGGTATGATAATAATGATTTGGGTATCACCTATCCGAACAGGAATTAAAAACAAAGTTTGAGGTTTTGGTGGAAAACCTCCATGAGGTAATCAATGTTTGTAACAGACATTTGAACATATTAATTTGCTCACATATATATCTGTAAATTTCTTTTTAAAAATAAAGAAGAGTTGGTGACATATATACGATTACTGAAAATCTTCTTTCCACTGAGTTAACCTGCTACTGAAGGTCGAAATTCGTATATTATTACATGATATTTGTCTGCCCTGCAAAGTCTATCCGTCAGACTTTATGCGTTTGTTTGACTTTTTTACAAGAATCGAAACTACGAGCTCAGTGGTGAAAGGTGCTTTTCTGGCGACTGCGCCTCCGCAAACTCCTGTGTCCTGCGCCACAAAAGTCTCCTATGCGTTAAGGGTTGTTCTTCGAGTATCTTGACTTGCATAGGTGCCCATTAAAGATGTATTTTGAATTGCGACCTTCGCAATTTCGCATGTAAGTTTCACACAGTGGTATTTCACGCGCTCTTGATACCCGGCCAATTTAGGATCAGAGTTGATGAGTTGCAACTCTCGCTCATCAAACCTGATCAACTTTGATTAGTTGAACATTTCATGATGAGATCTTTTGTTCGTTTGACAGGTAACTTCTGGTCAACTGACATCAACTCTGATTCAATTCCTGTTCTCGTTTCCTGGGGGTATTAGAGTTTGTGAAACTCTCATGCAAACATTCGCTGGCCAAATTTTAACAAGTCCACTAGCATTCTCGTTTGCCCAGGGCTTTAATGAGAGTGTATTAGATACGATGAGAAGGAACGAGAGTTGCTATTCAAGTCAACTGTTATCTTCGTTTGACAAGGGGTTTGCACACCATGAAGGAAGTTTTTAATTAATACTTCTATATCTTGTTTATAGTTGATGGTAGTTATGGTAACTGGTCGCTAAACAGTTCGTGTTCCGTTACCTGTGGCAAAGGTTTTGAAACATGGACACGCGAATGTAACAAACCTGAGCCAAAGTATGGTGGAGAAAACTGTAGTCATCTGGGACAACCTGTTGAATATAGGTTATGTCTTGCAAAGTCTTGCCCTGGTAAGTGATATGGTGTTTAATTAAAACATTTGTGCAAAGTTAATTCCATTCCGCTTGCTTTTACTCTCTTTCACATTATTCTTTACTGAAGCCTTGAACATGAAAAAGGTAGATAAGCATTAGTGTATTGTATTCGAGTATAATTCAACCAAATAGTCAATTCTTACATTGTATGCTATGCTTTCGTAATTTAAGTCAATAATTAATATATTAGAGTTGTCCAAATGACACACATGGATGGTTACTATCGTTTTTGGTTTGAATGCACGGAATATATGTAACTATAAGGATCAGAATTATGTTAAAATTGCTGTGCACATATGGATTTCAGTTTTGTTATTGACAATTATTTAATCACGTATTTCACTGACTTCAACGACATTAAGATTGCTTTGCGTTCATTTCATACATTTTTTAACGCAAACTACTGCAACATTTCGAGAAATCATTATTGTTTACGATTAAGAAGTAAAAATTCATTCGCCAATAATACAAATATAATTTTATAAAACGTCAAATATAATAATAAATAAATAATACAAATATAATTTTATAAAACGTCAACTTGAGTTCCATTCTCAAAATAATGGTGTTCAGGCCTTAAAATATCTTTTACAGGGCCGTCTGACAAAATATCCGATGACTTTCAGTTTGGGTCGGACATATGTATGATGGTGTCCAATGACCTTCAGTTCAATTTAGCTTGGAAATAAGTCTGAATGACACAAATTAATATCAGCACATTGTATCAATTCTGAACTAAATGTTGTGAAAATCTTAAATAATTTGTGTCATTCATACTTATTTTCCAGCCAAGATTAACTTGCTTGCCAATAATAGCAGTATTTTGATTTACGTGCGTGGAAAAAGCGTCGGACAAAGCTACAGTTCGCTCGGACACCAATACACTCGGGTCGGACAAACAATAAACCTCAGTTTCACTTAGGTCAGACAGAATGTCCGGTGGTTTCATTTCTACGTCGGACAATTTGACGAATGGGTCGGACAATGTCCGTGACCGACCGATATTTTAAGGCCTGGGTGTTCGTTTCTCTTGTACAGCGCATGCTAGTAAATATATGTTGCCAAAAACACTATTCAAAATACTTCTCACACATCATTAGATATTCATAGCATTTCGGCCAATGTCATGGTGTAATTTACATCACGTGTATCTATCTGGATATTAGAATGTTAGGGTTTGTAATCCGAGTGATTATATACATTTTAAGACCTGACCAGGAACGACTGGGAAAAATGCAGCACAAGGTCCTCTGGTAGGAATTGAACCTACGGCCCTGCGATTCCGATGCAGCGCTCTAACCAACTGAGCTACAGGGGCCAGCTGTTGAGCTGTAACCGTAAGTTCATGTATATATAGGTAATCGGGTGTGCGGGTTGTGTTAAGGTGGACTTGAATGATGTGGTTTCTTTGCACTTTACTTGGTGGAATTAATATTAGAATGTTAGGGTTTGTAATCCAAGTGATTATATACATTTTAAGACCTGACCAGGAACGACTGCGAAAAATGCAACACAAGGTCCTCTGGTAGGAATTGTACCTACGGCCCTGCGATTCCGGTGCCGCGCTCTAACCAACTGAGCTACAATTACTTCAAGTGGGAAGGGCTTTGAACAATAGGGAATTTGAGGGGTAAACAAAAGATTATGCAAATATATTTAATTGCTATGTTTAGAATTATTTCTAAATACAGTAAGCTGTATTTAGAATTTTTTTCTAACTACACTTTACATCTAACACTTTTTCTGAACGTTTGAAAACTACATAAATATACGAAACGGAAAATTACGATTTTCTGCCAACTATCAAAATAAACAACGCTTTAAACACTACAGCAATAATACAACTTACCAATAATGTTTACCGTCTAATATATATTCACTTCGGCTCTTCCATTTTCCACTAAATACAGCCTTATCGCACACACAATCTGATATATTGTTTTTTCGGATCTCCATATCCTTGTCAGCGATCGCGAGTGGCTTTCTTTACTGGGCTCAACACTTTCTGGTTCTCGAAACCGCTTTTTCTTATATTATAAGAAGATGCCATGCTCCTTTGCCAACAAAATTAATCTATTCATGAGCAAAGCGAACTGAATGCTTCGTCACACTTCATGCAATCTTTCAAGCGAATGCAGTCGTTAATGTCCCACGCTTACTTTTTTGAATATCTAATAGTTTCATGCCTCATTGCTATGAATATCTATTGATGTGTGAAGCAATTTCAAATCATCGTTGGTGTTTTTAACTTGGCTTCCAAATCCCCAGTGCCATGAACAATGGCTTGGCTGCGCCTCGCCATTGTTCATGGCACTTTTATTTAGAAACCACGTCTAAAACACTAACTCGGATTTGAAATATTACTTCTATAATACAACGTTTAAAAAGGGATGAACTGATACGTCTATTAACTCATCTAAAATTAAAAAAAAAATTAAAAACCCCAGCGGCCTTGGCGTATAGTTAACAAATAGATTATATTTTCCCGTTGTCTGTTCAGTTATAGATACACAGTATGACGTCATGTGTGGTAAGAACAAAAAAAGTGTCCACGACGCAAGTGGTCACTTTTTGTTATTACCACATATGGCGTTATACTGTGTATCTATAGCTGAACAGACAACTGGAAAATGTAATCTATTTGTTTTATATAATAAAATTGAAAAAATACCGAATTAAACAGTTAAACAGTTTATTTTTATTCCCCCAAACATTTGGAAGTCGAAATTTTGCAAATATCACGCGTACATGATCCTTACAAATAACGAAATGCTATTGGCTCGCTTAAGTTACGTGCTGAATTTTGATTGGCTAAGCTTAGAATGCGCTAGACGGTAATAAATAGGGAAAAACTAAAAATTTATCAAAACAGTGAAAAACATTGTTCTAAAGGAATAAAAACGTGTGATAAAAAGGCAAATAATTATTTTGCTCTGAACGAGTATGGCAATTGAAAAGCACTTCAACATTGCCTATGTTGTACGAAGTGAGAAACCAGCTTTGAAAACGAGACGTCAACAAGGTCAAATGACCGAAATAGTATTTTTTTTCGAAAACTGGATTGGATTATGGAGTCGCATCTGAATGACTGAATTGAGATTTGCCGAGTTGCTTGCTTTTGTGAGTGGTTCTTGCACGTTTATCGAAGGTATTTATTGATGTTTATATATTCAATTGCATGAATTCATCCAATTTATATAAATTCAGTGGAATTTTCAAGTATTTTCGACATTTTAAAAACTTATGACGTAATTCCGTGCGTCTGTACTCTAATAGATCATGGCTCTCGATCAATGAAATCGCATGAATTGTTAAGGTTATTATATAATCCACAATCGTACATAACTTCAAGTTCTTTTCTGTAGAAAGGTGATCTAGACCCCCTGGCACTCTCATGTACTGATATTAGAATTTCGAAATAAATTCTGTTTCTTAACCACGCTATGAGAACTGCATATCGTTCATTATCTTTTTCTGCCAGTTTCTGCGCAAGCTGTTTAAGAAACATTTGGCATTCAATCCCCATTCCACCATTAGTTCCGAATACCAGGGGTATAAAGGAACCCATTTTAACATCTAACACTCTCTGTTGGTATTTCCTCTTCTTTTCGTTCTCGTGTTCTTGAAAATCATCTGAGTCCCCCGGTCTTGGTTACATTTTGAGTTTACTTGCGTCATTCTTACGTCAATAAATGCAGTAGTTCCACGTAACCAAAAACAATTCCGCCTTCATGTCCAATCTCGCCTCAGAATTTATGATGGCCGATCTCAGGTTGAATCTTTCGTTGTCAAGGGGTTGGAGATGTGGCTCTAATTCCACGTTCTTACACACTTTACCAAGTGGCGTGGCGAGTAAGTTGCAAACTCCGTCATGCCTTTGCGCCAGGAAACCCCATTTTTACATGTCATGGCATGATTGATGTTGAAGCGATCTCCACACGCACAATGGCTTGGCATATCATTCAAAGGTAGATTGTATCTCATTCGCAACGAGTCTCTAAATTCTTGCTTATTAAGGGCTAAAACCAGGGTCTTTGAGTGTTATGCCGTTTAGCCAAGAACTCGCTCCTTTTTATCTTGATTGCATTGCCAAAAATAGTGTGCGTCTGGGGGTAGCATGGCCAGAAATCACGGACATGATTTATTCTACTTTCTTCGCAATTTGCATATCACGTTAAAATATTGCTTCTGCAGTAAACAGTAAATTATATTACGCGTTGCTGTAAATCCTCAAATCAGAGAAGTGACTATTCTGCATCCTGCACATTATTCATGATCGAGTTCAGATCTGAATTGGAGTTAAATTGCTTCAGTCAAAATGTCAGTTCTCCAATAAAATTCTTCCCCGTTCTACACAAGGGTATATTGAAAATACTTCTTTTAAAATTTCGATTTAAAATATTTATTATCGATTTAAAATGTTCAAACGCTCGTGTATGATTTTAAATATTCTTTAGAGATTCCAATTGTCCTCTGAGTTTGTATTTTGAGTTGGAGTGTTTATTAGAATAATTAGTCAACTTGCTCTTGTTGTCGACTTCTGCTGCGTCTTCGTGTCTTCGTTGACTGTTCGCTCACAGACAACTCGGCTTCATTGTTTCAGACATTGTTTTGTTTAAATATATTAGGTTTTCCTTTATACGAGGATATTTATCTTGGATTATTTTGGGATTTCTTGCACAAAAATTGTAAATGATTTGCGTCACAAATTAGGAACCAAATCTTTTCGCGAAATGGCGGCAATGTCAAATCAAATTTGCGGTATTCAGAAAGCGCGAGCGACTAGACAATTTATCCAAATTCAAACGTTTCTTTCAAATTCGTGCAAAAATAGCGATCTGACTTTTAATTTACTCTTTTTTCAAAAGGGCCTTACTTAAGAGAACTTTGATTAATGAGTATATATATTATTGTATTCCCGCAGCTGACGGTGGTTACAGCAACTGGACTTTGAGTATTCCATGCAATGTTTCTTGCGGTGTTGGAATGGAAATATGGCTACGTACTTGTAATAATCCTGAACCAAAATACAGTGGTCGTAACTGCAGCAGCCTTGGAACTCGGACTGAAATAAGAAACTGTAGCACAAAACCGTGCCCAAGTAAGGCTAAAACGTCAAGTAAAGTAAAGTTAATAAACTAAATTTCCGCAACTGTTTTCCCTATTGGAACAGGAACCACAGCCGTGTTTTCCTTGTCTTGCACCAAGGGAAAATTTTGTTAAGTTAAAATAATGCTGTTAGTATACTTTTCTTTTCCGCTTAAAAATTTCGTTAGGATATCCCTTTATGTGCAATGTTGCAAGAGGATGAAACCAGAGGAGGTGAAACAAAAGTTCCGTGGTTGGAAGAGCGAAAAAAAAGAGAGCCCTCTTCTCCCATTGGTTTCAAATTAGAAAATTGCGCATTGCAGTATTTGCAAAGTTCATCTGCAAACAAACGCGTTCCAGTACGTTTGTGCATATATAAGTGTTGTTGTGTTTGTGCTTTATCCTGTTTTTCCATATACAGTTGATGGTATGTATAACAACTGGACAAAGTCGTCACCATGTAGTGTCACGTGTGGTCACGGTGTTGAAATATGGACACGACAGTGTGATAATCCACCTGGAAGATATGGTGGAAATTGTACTAATCGGGGGGCTGCTATAGAAATTCGATTGTGTGAGACGGAACTTTGTCCAGGTAAGCTCAGCAAAAATGCTTTGACCAAAAAACGGTGACAGAATAACACTTTTGGAGTTTGTTCATCTTCTTGAAATTTACAATATAGGGGTGCTTATCCGACCTTCGGGGTGCCGACTGGTCACCAAGTCCATAGTAACTAGAGGGAGCGAAGCTTCTTTGCTAAGGCTAGGAGTAGTGCACTCCCTCTGTACCACATAGATAATTCATCTTTAGTAATTACTGGAATTAGAAGACTTTTTAACTTGCTGTTCGGGTGGATTATAGTTACATATAAGTATTAAAATAATGAAATTAAATACAATATGACGTCTTAGTTCAATTTTTCACTATTCGCTACATATTTCACGATTAAACTGCAATTTCATCTTGTGATGGAACGAGTAATTCTGATGTGGTTTTGATAAAATATTGAAATTATGAAATATGTTGTCCAAAAAGATGTAAATCTGCATTCAAATGAAATAAGTGTGTTTCATATCGTTTTTCAGCTCACACCCACTCTCAGATTATTGGTATCACTGTTGCTGCTACTGTTTTGGTGATCATCGCAGCGGTTGCATATCTTATTTTTATTATTCGACGACAACGTTGTAAAAAAGGTGAGATCAAGTTCAGATTGGGTTTTTAAATGTTAAAATGTTTAAACATTGATTCATTGATTTTACGCTTCTTTAAAACTACAAATATTAGTTTTGAAAATGATTTGCTAATGGTATAGTTGAAAAGTGATATCGATGTAAACCATTATCATTTCGAAACTCAGAAAAAATCAAAGCGTTTACATATAGCTAGATTTACGATTTCTTTACCAAGCACAAATATTCTGAAAGTGTTTTGCTAATATGTGGGAGCCATGCTTCATTGATTCGATTGTTTCATGTGCCACTAACACCAAATATGGTTTCTGGTATCAATACTGTACCAGAAAAATTTAAAACAATTATGGCTACAAATGGTTAGCCCTCGTCGTTCATTTTTTGATAAAGCGTTCATTTTTTATTTTATATTTGAAAATTCGCTACCTTAATAGACCTTTCCGCTAACTACGTCACAACTACATTGTTTTCAACTTAGGACCACCTTAGATCACGCTTAAATGGAATGGAGCTCAAGTTTGTTCTCACTGGCTGCCTATGCGCAAAGAAGCAGAACATCCTTCTTTAATAAATGCATGATAAAATAATTATTGGTTAGAGCAATCTCATTTGACTTTAGTAAAGCATTTGATAGTGTCCCACATGATATTTTGTTTAATAAAATCAAGAAAACACCCATTAATCCATACATTATAAACTAGATAATTGACTTTTTGAACAATCGCAGACAGAGAGTGAAAGTTGATGGTGTTACAACTGAATTTGTAGACATTAATCGTGGCGCACCCCCAGGGTACTGTACTTGGACCTGTAATGTTTGCTATAATGGTCAATGATATCAAAGCGGTTAATTTCTCCAATGATTTAAGTAAATTTGCTGATGATATTGCAATAATAGCACCAGATTATGATTACGAAGATTGAGCTGGTGATAAAGTGGAAAACATGAAACTATGGTCAAACGAGAATAGAATGTCTTTAAGTGTGGAGAAAAACTACGAAATGATAGCACGCGTAAGAGCGTCTACTCCCTTTCTGGATCACATTCCGTCCATAAAACGGAAAGATGGCTCAAATTATTGGGTGTCACGATGGAATAAATACGTCTGGAAAAGTGGATAAACATTTTGTGGAAGAATGTATATTCTAAGTGTTTGTAAATATTACCGGCTCTATACGCATCAATTGGATCTTCCCTTGAATAGTCTTATAAGGTCGGTTTACTCGACAAGCGTATTGGGCAGGGCACCCCTGAAAATAGGCACCGTGCCAAAACTCCCACTTCGCTATTCACTCGTTTACACTACAAGAAACACTTTTATGAAGATAAGCATCGGGAAAGCCCATGCATCGGGAAAAAGCACATCTACCTTCTGTTTACGACGGTATATTTTAAAGAATAAAGATGTCGCGCAGAAATATAATTATATTTTTATATTTATCGGAACGAATACGAGTATTATATGAGCCGAAAATCGAGCAAAAAACCAATTCAATACTAGAAAAGTACTTTAAGGGTCTGTTCATATGGGAAAAAGTTATCCCGGTTAGCGATAAAACTTTTCGACAAAATTACAAGCGAGATCTCGCCTTGGTACGAAAATAATATGAAAAGTTACACTGTGTTCATATGAGACAAAACGTTTTCCCGTGTATGGAGGTCTCGCTTGTTGTCAGGCGAGATCAGGGGCGTAGGGAGCAGCGCTAGGGTCACGAGAGTATCTGGAGGAATATGTATCTGGAGGAATATCTGGGAGCAGCGCTAGGGTCACGAGAGTATCTGGAGGAATATGTTAATGAGAAGGTCTCTAATTGGGTCAACGAAGTGACAGAATTAGCCGAATTTGCCGGCCTACTTCCTAAGAACCCTGCCAGACATCCAGGACCTACTAGAGCCACTCGAAAAGGCAATATCACAGATTCTCATCCCCGCTATCATGGATCACCAGTGCAATCCACTCGATCGGGACATTCTAGCACTTCCAGCACGTCTGGGTGGCCTGGGCTTGGAAAATCCAAGTCATGAGGCAGAACGTCAGTATGTGTCGTCAAAAAGAGTGACAGCACCCCTTGTTGATCAGATTGTAGCGCAGTTCCATCAGCTACCCGACGATTCGCATATAAAATCAGCGCAACAAGCCGTTAGAAAAGAAAGAGTGCAAGAGTGGGACGAGAGGGCAGAACGTATTAGAGACAGTGCACCCCAAGAATTCAGCGTATATTAGATGTGGCTTCGGAAAAAGGATCATCTGTGTGGCTCACAGCACTTCCCCTAAAAGAGCAGGGATTCAACTTGAATAAGAGAGAATTTCGGGACGCCGTAAAGCTGCGTTATGATTGTCCAATCGACGACATCACCTCCATATGTGTATGTGGGGATACTTTCACGGTCGACCATGCCATGAACTGCAAACGTGGAGGTTTTGTAATTATGCGCCACAATGAGTTGAGAGATCTGGAAGCGGAACTCCTCAACATTGTCTGTAGTGACGGCCAAGTTGAGCCTGTCCTACAAGACATCTCGGGAGAGCAACTGAATGGAGGCTCCATCAGAGCACCTGATGCTAGACTCGACATTCGTGCACGTGGGTTCTGGGAAAGTCAAGGATCAACCTTTTTTTATGTAAGGGTTTGTCATCCCAATGCTGATTCGTATAACGACCTGGACCTTCGTCAAGTCTACAAGATACACGAAAACGAGAAGAAGCGCCTATATGCAAGGAGAGTCCTCGAAATAGAGCAAGGAACATTTACGCCACTGGTATTCACCACCACAGGCGGTATGGGCAAAGAATGTGTGAGATACCATAGTCGATTGGCAGAGTTGGTAGCCATGAAGAAAGGCGAAGATTATGCGACAACTATGAGTTGGATAAGAGCCAAAACCTCATTCGCTTTATTGAGATCGGCACTTACCTGCTTGAGGGGTTCAAGGGCTAGGAAAATCATGTATGATATTAAGAACATTGATTTCAACATTGAGAACGCCGAGAGTGCTATCTCTCAAACATTTTAGACTATACATATACAAAGTTTATTTGTTTAGTTATTTAGCGGAATATCTTAGTTTCGTTATTTAGCTACTTAGCGGTAAATATTTTAATTATGTAACGGTATATGTTCCAGAGTTTGTTTTTAAAATTTAACTGTACATATCAACACAAATTTATGAACCTTTTTAATTATACCCAAAGAACAGATTATTTGATATAGTCATTGATAACAAAAGAATTATTGTATATAATGAAATGATGAATAAAGTTGTATTATTATTATTATTATTATTATTAAATGCGGCAATAAGCTATAACACGAAAACGAGGCTGAGGGGCCCAAAGATGCCACGGCCCCTCAGCTTCGTTTTCGTGTTAAAATTTTGTCTCACATTTATTGGTCAAAATAAAAAGTGTTTTACAAGCATGTGTTGAAGAAGGATGCTCTGCTTCTTTGCGCATAGCTAGTTAGACAAAAACTTTAAATCCATTCCATTTAAGGAGGCTCCCTACAGTTTCTACTATATATCAGTGTCTCAAACTAAAATCTATTTTGATCTAAAAAAACTAACCTTTCGCAATTTTTTTTATTCCTCTTATGTAAAAAAGTAATTTTAACCACAATCGCTACTATTCATGTTACCATCACAACATTACGTCACCATCTATATGGCCTATATCAACCGAAACGCCGTCTTAGCGGGCAAATAATCGCGGTGATCTACCTTTTTTATTGCAGAAAATACATTGTTGTGAAGTTTTGAACCTTTTTGGAAGTTATTTGAAAATCGCCAGTGTAGTTTTCGAGAAACTGAATTTCAGCCTTTAAGATCGACGTTTGGCTTGTAGTTTTAAAGGTGTCGAATCCCATTTAATCCACTGGTTTCTCGTACCAAAAGATTTGCAATTCATCTAATGATATTGCATCGGAAACATTTAGCAGTGAACATGTTAATCATGAAGAGGATTTTAAAAATATATTCTTCATTTCTTGATGTTTGAATGACCCAAACATCTCAATCACAAAATGTAAATAAAAATTTATTTGTATTTTGCATATTAAATATTCAATCAGTACGGTTAAATAATTCGTCGAGAGGAAGCCGTTCGATGGCGATTTTAATTAAATATAATAAAATAAGATAAAATGTTGCCCATTGGAGATGCTTAAAGTTGATCGAGCTTGCATTCCTGTCGCAATTGACACTAATCGTGAATTCTATAATTTTAGATTATAAGATTTCAAGTACTGTCTTCTATCAGTATGAACAGTAAATACCAAATTAAGGTCTATACACTGGTAACACTGTACTGACACTACCGATCTATTATTTAAATTTTCTAGGCTTTTCTTATTACTAGTTGCGTTGACACTACAGAGTAGAACGAAACATTTGTGGTCTCCAGCAGGATTCGAATTTGAATCTTTGCGTTTCTACCAATTGTGAATGACTAGAGCGGCGATATAGCAACCACAATACAACGAATTTTCTGTTGCACACTGCAGAGTCTAAACGATAGAGATTATAAGCGTTTTTTATAATATCTATGGTCTAAACAGTTTTTTATTTATAATCGCTTTGTTTGTCGAAACACCACCTAAATTTATTACTGCAAAGCTTTCGAGCCGTAAGCTCGGATCTCTATAAGCGCTAATAATATGTGACTTGTTTAATTCACACGCCCTTTTTATATATAAAAGTGTCGTGATCTGTTGGCTCGCGTCATTTGAAAATTTAATTAAACGGCAGTAGTGTAGAAAGGCCGGTTCATGGACACGACCCTACGACTTGCTCGTAGGGTAAACATTTTTAAGGTTTCGCTCAGGCTTGCCCGGACATTGACCTTCACGTGTCAATTCCCAAGTTCAAATTTTGGAACACACCCCTACGACTTGCTCGTAGGGTCAGCATTTTCACAGGCTTGCCCAGGCATGTCCGGAAGGCTATGACGTCACTTCCGGTTTTCCTTGCGCCACTCTCGGAACTCTCTGTCTCCCGAAATCTCTTCCCCCACTCACGCATCACTTGCATAGCCTTTTCAAGTCCTTCACTATGACTTCAACAAACCTCTGCCGAACGCGCCTGCACAGTGCTTTTCGAAGACTTCCCAAAGTCTTCCCGAAGTCTTCCCAAAGTCTTGCCGAAGTCTTCCCAAAGTCTTTCCGGAGTCTTCGTAAGGTTTTCCAAAAACAAAATCAACATTTTCGAAAGAAAAATTTTTCTATATAATAAAACAATGTCCATCACCAAAGTATCAGACTTCTCCAAAGATTCGTTCACTTTCCAAGATGCTGTCGAGAACAAATTCGGATCAAAGAAGATTAAAATAACGGCACAGGACCAAGGTCCACTTTTACTAAAACTCGAGAACTGTCTGTCCTATGGAGTGAACAAGAACAACAATATCGGTAAGGTCAACTACTCCATCCCCCTGGCTTTATGGGGTAAGGAGGAGTTTGTGTCGGCCCTGAAACTGGTGGAAAAGGAGTCAGCCGATCATGTCGTTAAACCGGGTGAAAACGTTATGAAGTGCCTTTACCGAAAAGGTAGTACTCCAACCCTATATGCAAAGATTGACGACAAGACGGAGATCTACCCTCCGAAAGGGGACGACCTTGCGGATCACAAGAAGTACCAAGACAAAAGGTTCCACCTTGATGCAGCCATCAAAATCGAGAGCATCTACGTGTCTGATAGTGTAACCTCCATTCAGGTGAAGCTGTATGAGGCAAAGATACTGGAGGAAAAGCTCAGGGAAACGAGGAAGAGGCTTCTATAGACCCGTTAGAATTTTAATGTTACTTCAAATATTAAAATTGGTTCAAGAACAAAAAGTTTTTTCATATAAGTAAAACATGGAATCCTGTGAAAAACAACATCAGTTGAATATGGAACTATTCAGATAAGCGGAAAAAGAGTATTTGGATTTTATCGGTTCGGAAGAGCCGGATGAAGAAGTTCCAAACTGGAAATTGTGCTTTGAAGGACGAAAACACCAGTTTATCGATATAGACGGGGAAAGGAGGTGCAACGACTGTGGACTGGTATCCGGTCCCGTTTCATCTGTTTCCGAGTATGGATGCTGGAAAAGGGCAGTTATGAAGGGTCCGGACAGAAGCTGTATAAGTACGACGGATTTTGTCAGAGAAAGGGTATAACGGATTTCGTCCTATTAGGAGGAAGAACACGTGAGGTTTTGGAAAATATTGAGAAGGTTGCAACGCAGAGGAGCCAAAAGGGAACATACCAGATATGTAAAAGACTTAACGTAGTGGTGGATGAGTCATTACTTAAAATCCCGAAAAGCAAGGTTTCTCACGATCGGTGTAAGAAGATATTTCAGACACTAGGTTGGGAGTATATTGACTAATTTTAATGTTTTATTAAGCATTAAAATTGAAATAGTAATTTTAGGGTGAAAATGACCTAGAAAGACATCAACCGTTATCGGGATCAATAGGCAGCTGATCAGGCACAGCCACATCAGTTTCCGTGGTTCTTTCATAATTTTGTTTATCATATTTTTTTTACCGTTGCGCTGGCGTAACCGATCTGGGTATGTGCGCTCGTCGTGATGTCTCCTCGTTCAATACCGATACCCAGGTTAAACATTTTTCTCCTTTTATGATTTTTGTTGCACTTCACTCCGTTTGTGATTTCACGTTTTGCGGACAAGCATCTCATTTTTATTTAACCGGAAAATAAAATGCCATTCAGCATGATTATCGTAGGTATGACAGCTTGTGGAAAGACACACTATCTCGTCCTGGAATTGAAAACCACGTTTTTTCATCAATTTGAAAACATATTTTTAATTTGTCCCACCTATCACTGGAATAAAACCTACGACCAGAATTTCATCCACGAGGACGACAATTTCTTTGACATACTCTGCCGTCAGGACGACGTGGAGGAGTATCTTAAATTTGTCGTGGATTTCACAAAGGGAAAGGAATCCCTTATCATCCTGGATGACTGTGCCATCACCAAGTCCTTGACGGACCGTACGGGGGAGCTGGTCGATCTTGGGTTTAGTGCACGTCACATGAGTATTTCCACCATCCTTTTCACTCAGACCATACCGACAAAATATTTCGAAATTGGTAACATTCTATAATCCGAACAGACAGGACATGAAGATTATTTTGGACGAATATCGTTTTGCTGACAGCGCGGAAATGAAATCTATTAAGGAAAAGCTGAATGAAAATAAATATTCTCATCTTGAGGTAAACCTGGTAGATCCGTTCAGTCACGAGGTAAAAATTCCGATGTTATGATAAAAGAGATGGAACCGGAATTACCGACCCCAGAAAATACGGAGATTGAGGATTATAGGGCAGAGCTTATCCGCCTGTCCAATGCAGGGGAGATTACCCAGTCTGAAAAATATCTCAGAAAAGCGTCCGAAAAAGTCATTATGAAAGTCCGAAAAGACTATATCGTTGCCCAAAGGGAAAAGGCAAACATCGTGCTGACGGAAGCCCTGATCGTTAAATTTCCCGGTCTTATGGAAGCCACCAACACGGTGGACAGTGGGGAAGAGCTGCAGGTGGAATTAAATCAGGACAAACAGTTCAGGAGTGATGTCAAAAGTGTGGTGGGAAAGTTGTCCCCGTGTATACCCTATTTGGGGATTGTTAGCGGTGGAGTGGAAACCGTAAAGCATGTTTACCGGAAAACACCCGAACCACCAACACCACCTTCCAAAGAGGAACCAAAGACCGACACCGACAACTAAGTATGAAAATTTTTCAGACCTTTTAGGTTTGGAAAAACTGTGATCCCTAAATTTTATAAATCCGTGAGTTGTCTGTTTGCAATTCCGATGACACCGTCGGAAAGGACGAACATGTGACATACAACGTTCGCAGTTGTAGCTTTTTTCGTGATTTCCACCAGTATTCCGGACTGGGTGTTTTGAATTTTGGCACCGTTTCCGTATGTGTTGACATCATTTACGGTTCTGAGATCAATGACCAGCGCAAACTTTTTGTCCTTGAAAAAGTTGGTTGGTGTTTGATGGCTGATTTCACTGATGCCAAACAGTCGTCTTGCCTTTTCGTATAGTCTTGTTTTCGGAATACCTTGACAGTAGACTGCGTTGGGCACACCTTCCACGGTTACCCTAACCTTTTCGATGTTGGGGTAAACATATTCTTCGCTGTCTGTCTTTGTCTTGTTCGTAAACAACATGACGATGGCTTTAATGTTTCTGCGTGGCACGTTGATCGTTTCGTTGATAATGGTGGAGTCCTTACTCCATTCCGTCTTTTTTATCAGGATGACATATTCGAAAGACAGCTTCCGTCCGGCGTTGTACTGACTTTCCACTTTTTTTGCCAATTCGATGTTGTCGATGGATTCGTACTCCAATTCGATGTTTTCCAGGGTATACCCTTCCACATTCCCCACACCCTGTGCGTTCATGATTTCATCTGCCGCTGGTAGGGTTATGACATACTGTAGATCGTTTGCCATAATGTGTGGAGCGTAAAGTCCATGGTCTTTTAGGATTTTACCGTTTCGGATTCTTTGTTTTGTTCCAAATACTTCGAACAATGAGGTGGCATTTTCTTTGGATATTTTCTTCCTCGTGGCTTCGCTAGCAATACCATCCTCCACCATGTCGTCACGTTGTTTCCTGTGCAACCATAGGTCCTTGTAGACCTCCAGCAAACTTTCCCCACTGTTGCCGTAAACCTTTTCTCCTGTGAGACGAATTTCCAGTCTTTTTTGGAGTAGTTTTCCTAAATTGTTTCTGAACCAGGATTTCGTGTTGCTGTTCTTAACGTCAAAAACCAAATCCATACTGTGCGGTATGAGAACGGAGTCGGCTTTTAACCTTGGAATATTAACGTAAATTTCTTCTCCGGGTTTGGCAGAGTTGGGGTTGAAGGTTAGGACGTCCTATCTTCGGTGATTTCAGCCTTGTTCATTGGGATATGTTCAGCCGTTCGGTTCATTATGTTTTATTATATTACAAAAATATATTTATTTTTTACGTCTGCTTGGTAAGTATTTGTATATAGCCCCACCAATTAGGATTGCTACGATACATAGCTTTTGGCAAGAAAGGCAAGACCCTTGGCTCCCCAGCTTAGGATAGTACTTAGTAAATTTAGGATAGGTACTAGTATTGGTAGTGTATATTTTGCAAGTTTTGCTTGTGCTTTCCCAGCAGCTCCAAGTCCGCTGGATGCTCCCATAATGGTCTTCTTTCCAGCCACTACAACCGTGGGGATAAATCCGGCGATGGAAATAACAATAGCTGTTAACACACCCAGATTTTCCCTTGTCCATTTGCCGAGCTTTCCAAATTTTGTTCAATGTCTTCCCTTACTATTTCCCTATACCTGTGTTTCCCCTCCACCGTTTCAGGTTGTTGACCCTCCTCCAGTCTAGCTTTGTCAATAACTCGGTCGGCATCATCCGCACCTTCCTGCATGATTTGTCGTCTTTCTGGACCTGTTTGGTGTTTTATTTCGGTTCTGAAGGTTTTCCCTTGTACTTTTAGGGCTTTGTTCCGGACTTCGGGAGGTCCCTTAAGAACGGTTGTTCCCACAATCTCCCTAGTTTCCTGTGTGGAAAATTTTCCTCTTCTCTCCATACTTTTTGCATGTTCTACAAGGTTATCACCTGCAGAGGCGGCTTCCTGGTGAAGATCATCCCTAGTATCCTCATAGATGTCTTCTGAAACTGCTCTTGATGTTTCTCCTCAGGTTTCTTCTTCTACCGTACTTATGGCTTTAATCCTGTGTTCTTCTTCTGCCTTATTGAATGATTCGAAGAAATTATCTGTATTTCTTAAGCGCTTCTCGTTCTTTGATAATTTGTAGCTACCATTCTTTCCAATGAATGCTATTACAGTTCCGTCAAATGTTAACTGATGTTTATCGATGTCTAAGCGAGAAAAAAACTCCCTAGCGTACTGTCCGTCGTTTGGGTTTAATCTGTAGTCTTTTTCGAAAAGCTTTCTAACATATTCTGCTTTTATTTCAACAGGTGATCCGACCGTATACAAACGCGATGTCTCCCTTCCCCTCTTTTTGGATGTATCGTTCTTGTTTTCCTCGTAGAAGGTAGACATCCACAGATCGTCGTCTTGCCTGTTTAGTCTGTCTAATCCGAATTGAAAGTCGCCTTCATCAATAGGTGTATCGCTGATGATACCTTCATCATCACCTCCTTCAGCTCCTTCCGGTCGGTTGATGTCTTGGATCTCTATGGTGTCCATTTTTATTTAAGTCTAAAGATAATTCCTGTTCATAATACCTTCTTAAACATCCTCCCCATCCTCAGTATCCTTAACACCGTACATGTTTTGGTCTCCACGGTATACTGCCGTAACAACGTATACTTCGTTGTCAAAATTGGGTTCGTATCCCTTTTCAAAGGTTTTGTGTTTAATTTCTACCCTAACGTGATCCCCAATCTTAAATTTGGGATCCGGAAAACTGTTTAGTGGATATCCATAAATCCATGTCCAAACTTCGTCCTTATTTTCCTCGTTTACATCCACAGGTTTCATCCCAATCGTACTGTGCGTGGAATTATTATAGGACTTTACGAGGGCAGGTAGAACGTCCACCCAAATTTTCGTCCTGTTTTCCGTAAAATATTTCCACATTCTTGTTTTCAAAGTCCTATTAAATCTCTCGACGAGTGCAGCTTTCCGGAATGTTCTTGTGGAAAAGTAATCGACATCGTGATCCTTTAGCAACGTCTTTATTCCTACATTGTAGAATTCCTTTCCGTCGTCGAATTGCGCTGCTTTCGGATATCTGCCAAACTTTTCCTTAGATTGTGCGAGTACCTTTTCAACGGCCTTCGTCATACTTTCGGTATTTTCCCTCCAGACGGGAACGGCAAAGTCATACCGATTCAGAACCTCTATGACAGTCAAAATACAGCGGTTCCCATTATTCTGGTAGCTGAACTTGCTCATGTCCACAAGGTCCATCTGCAGGATCTGCTGTGCAAGTCCGTCCACATATGTCCTTTGGGTTTTGTAATGCTTCGTGGATGGTTTGTGAATGATGTACGTGTTCTGCGTTTGCAGCCATTCTCTGACGTTTTTTCGGCTAACACCCGGTACTCCTTTCTCCTTTGCCATTTAGTATAGTTTTTCCATCGACATGTACCCACCGTTGACGTTAAAATATATTTCTCGAAGAGCTACATGCAATTGCAAACTAATTTTATTATCGGTAAATAAAACATGAAGAAGATAATGACTTACATTAAGGACGGACGGATTACCCTCGATCTTTGGGATCCTTTGGTCCTTACCCACGAATCCAAACTTTTCGTAAAAACTGCCGCCGTGTTTTGGAATTTCAAAACCATTCGCGCGGGTTACAACGACTACATTTCCGTAGATGGGAAGAAAATTACGATGGATGAAGGATACTGGACGTTTAAACAGCTACAAAAAAATATGGAGGAAAACGGACTGACGTTCAAGGAATATCCAGAGGGAAGGGTAAAGAATGACCTCGATAGTGGGACAAAGACGGTGGGACTTCCAAATCTCACGGGGATTTTGGGATACCAATTCTCCAACAGTCCTACATACACTCCACATATCAGCGATTGTCCCGCAGATATTCACAATGGTTTGCGATACCTTACGCTCAGCTGTAATCTCGTGAACCGTGAGCACAACATCCAACCGGACGGAAATCGGAGTGTTATCATCACCTCTCTTCCGATCGATGGAACCAAACCTCTTTTCGGAACCGTGACCAAGTACAACGACATCGAAAGTCAGGTAAGGGTGGATGCTGGAATGTACAGCGAAATTCGGTTTGAATTCGGATCCAATACCAGACTTGTTCCGGGAGACGTTTTGTTAGAACTTTACATTAAATAAAAGAATGAGTGCGGATATCTTTCGCAACTACTACGGAAAGAATTACGAGAAGGTTAAGGCGGCAACACCTATCGAAATCCGGAAAATGAAAGAGAATTATAGGAAAAAGAATTCCAACGCAACCCTATCCAAATTGGACTTTGAGGTTACCTCTGCCAAGGACCGAACCGTGGAGTCCAGGGATATCTTCTACAAAGTGGATAGTCTTACGAGCTATGGCATTACGTCTGATACGTTCCGTACAAATCCTGAGTGGACGAAGTACCTCCATTGGGTAGAGGGGTGGCGAAGCGTTCTTCCTGACATTATTTTTTTCTAAATAAGGATTTTAAATGAATGTGTATAGTTTCAAAGTTTATGTTACGGAGACCGGAAGTTTTATAACAAAATTAGAACCCATCAAACTGGTGTATGATAAGCCTGTGGACACCTTCATCAACGTACTACCGTTCGACTATCACTCCAATTCCTACTTTGGCTCTCTGGCTGCATCCTACGTTGCTATGTTTAAGTGTGGAATTTCCGAGGATCATCTTACGAATAACTTTTCCGAATCGCACTCCAATATAGTAACCTCCATCGTTCGCTTTCACCTCCATTTTCACCTTTCGAGATTTATGCGTAATCCCAAACTTCTGGACCAGTACATAACGAAAGATGATATACGAACAATCCGGAAATTTACACACGTTCACGAAACGTGGGAAAGGAGAACGGACTCTCCCCATGCAAACCGTGAGACATGGTACTATGATAAGCCTGTGAACGAACGGGGAAGAATAAGGCGTCAAAAATATCATCTGACCAAATACGGAGGCACATTTATCGAATACGAATACCTGACCGGCAGGTCTCCCTATAGCGTTGAAAACGATTACAAGACCCTTATTCCAAAAACATCCCGAGGACTTACCAAAGTTGGACAAAAGCTATTCCAACAGTCCATCGAGGCTTTCGTGTATGCCGTCCTGGGGCGCAGGCTAAAACCCGATGGAGTATTACGGGACAGGGTTCAAAGAGCCTACAAACGCGAAAGTGTTCCGGAAGGTGGTAAAGGACACGATCGTTCAGGACGATGTTACGGTTACCATTTCCAATATGCGAACAGCTATTTCCAACACCTATGTTATTCTAAATTTTGCAATTATGCCGGGTTTAATCCTAATCCCTTCGAACTTAAGGATTCTGACGAAACCCATTCAAGGGTTTAGCAACATCCTAGCGGTGGCTAAAAACGGGATGATGTTTGGAAAAAATGAAAAGGTTAATTATACGGGAGTAAAACCTGCCGATCAACCCACAAATAGTGCTGATCTAAGTCCAAGTACCAGCCATGCCATCACACCGGTTCCGATAGTGGAAGATTTTAAACCACCGGAGCTAAGGCAGAAGTCTGACAGTCAGAATATTGCCCTCGGTACAATAGCGGCAAAATCCTTTGGGCTTGCATACTTAATATTCCGGCGTTAAATAAAAATGAACATCTTATTCGGATACGACTATTTCGATACAATAACGGAAGATATGAACACCTTAAAACGGAAATTAGCAGTAGTTGAAAAGGGACAACGAGGGAACACGGCAGAAATAGTTGCAGATACCGGTGATATTAAAAAACTGAACAATCTTGGAAAAAATTCGGTACAATACGACTTTGCCCAAATACCTGGGTACTCACCCGTGTTTTTACAAATTCCCATTATTTCCGACGGAGACAGGAAGAATGCAAAATTAATCAGGTTCAGCATCAGCGACGGAAGAAACACAGCAACACTCTCCTCCCTGTACGGGTTTTACGTGGGTAGTTTACACGCGCTCAAAGCAGTATGATCATCCAGGTTTCATTCACATTTTTCGTTACGGGTGATACTACGAATTCTAAAGTCCAAATTTTCAATATGGAATCCAAGGACATAGACTCTGCTGGAAATGTAACCAACAGAACAAGGACTACAAACATAAGTTGCTTCCTCCTGACAACATAGGGTTTTAAATCTTTTTGTAAGATTTAAAATATTCGTGTTAATCCGTAGGCACCACCAGTTCCTAAAATAGCCATCGTCATCATCGCATACTTTTTCATTTCATCCGACGGTTGATAATAATCTTCCAATTTCGGTCTGCGCTGGGATGCTGAGTCATTCACAAGTCTCGTAAAATCCCGTAAGTCTTCCAGCGCTCTGTTTTTTTCCTCGATGTCCTTGTTAGCATCCAGGATTTCAGCCCGACGTCGGGCTTCGTCGTTCCTCCGCTTCACTTCGGATTCATAAAACTTTTCCTTTGCTTTTGCAAGTTTTTCCAGTGCTTGGTTTTGTCTTTTCACTTATTCCTTGTATCTTTGTTCATTCAATTTTGAGAAAAGAAATCCTGCTCCGGCAAAGGCCACGGCATTAAAAAGTCCTCCGACTACGACGGATGTCATTTTTTATTTATCAATCGTTTTTGGAATGTATAACTTATCTTTCAGATACCTATGGTAAATGCAATTCCAGCTACGGCAACATCCAACTTCGCCGCTCCTTCCAGGGTCATTGGTACACCGAGACTTTTTCCAGCAACTGTTTTAGCAAGGTAGGAAACTACGACGACTCCGATCGTTAGTAGTGTGGCATCGTACAATTCGTTGATCACTTCCTTCTTTGTGTCGGTCATTGTGTTTTTATTATAGCAGAAATATTTTTCCTAAGCATTCTCGTCTTTCAGCTTCTTTTCCAGGATTAGAGAGAATCTTCTTTCCAAGGTGTTGAGCATCCTATCTTCACTCTCCTTGCGTTTGGTTTCTATCGCCTTGCGTTTAGCTTCTGTCGCCTCAAACGTATGGATGTAAATCAGTACAGTTCCGGCCGTTACGGCTAAGGTCAGTACGTCCAAGAATAACTGTGACATTGTTTTATTATACTCTCTATTTCCTTTTCAGTCAAACAGGTCGGGACCACCCTGCCGTTTTGGTGTAGGCTGTGGTTCCTCTGTGGATTTGCTCTCCTCCATCTTTTCGCTCTTTTCCCGACGATTACACCAGATGACGTAGAGGGATCCAAGTCCCACAGTAATACCTATCACCATACCAACTCTCTCTAGGGTAATCACCGACCCTTCACATCTATTCTCTGCGTTCAAAGCATTCTGTTCTTCCATAGCTGCTTTTTCGCGTTGTCCGCGCTTCCTGGCTCTTGCCTCCTGACTGATCTTAGCAAGTCTGCGCCCTGCCTCCACTCTTTTCGGATCCTTGACGTGGTTCTTCACCAGATTTGTGACCGTAGTCGGATTCTCCTCTAACATGTTTTGCTCAAAAGTGTCTCAAAATAATTTTAAGTAGGTCCCAAGTAGATTCAAGTTCAAAATCAACAATTTATAGACAAGACTTTCCTACATACAAATAAAGCAATCATGGCACCACTCAGGACAATGGATAACGAAGTCCAACTCTAGTTCAACTGTCCTGAAAAAATTAATCACATCACAAGAATGTGTAAGTACACTAACTACGAGTACATGACGGTCATCATCTCGACCATGGGTGGAATAGGTTTAATTGCGAAACATAGTATTAAATTTGGGAAAGGATGGATGGGTCGGAACGCTGAAATTCGAGGTATAGATTACGTTTACGGAGGTCTGAATGGCATTCACATCCTAATTACCATTTCCGAATCCGTTGATGTGATTGATTGTTGGCTCGAATGTCCGGAGGATAGGATTCACCTAGGTCCACCCACGGATATTATAAATAATTGGTTCCGTATGTGTATGTCTTGGGAGGAATGGTCGGAGAAAAGGGAAGAGGAAAGAGCAATATGCACAGAAAGCGAAGTTATAGCGAGGTTATAGAGGAGGCACGGATAGGGGAGATGGAAATGCTGGAGGAAATGCAGATGGAGATCGAATTGCAGGAATCCCTACAAGGTCGGGCCGACTAAATGTTGAACACGTGGTATAATTTTAATGTAAAAAATGCATTAAAATTTTAATTTGAAGACAAGTCTCCCCATAATAAAAACCATGCCCAAGGAAAACATGTTCGAACACTACTCCGGAAAGACAAAGTACGTCCAAAAACCAAAGGCAGGACCGAACGAAAAACGATGTTTAGACTGTACGCTGTGGGCGATCCGGAAGGGAATAACCAAGGACTTCTGGTGCAAACACATTAAACATAACCTTAAGTTTTTCCGTAACTGATTCAACATCTCCGGGAGGAAATTTTCCCGTATAATAAAGTGTCCTTACCCACAAGTCCATATTTCCCTGAACCGATCATGATTGCTACTTTCAAACCCTTTGGGTTTGGAAAAAAAAACAGAATCAACTTTAGGAGGTAAAATTTTTGTATATATAATAAAGGGTACGAACCCTAGGTCCGGAAGTTCGGACAAATGGTCAGAATGTTGGAGAGTACATAAATTTGTCATTGTTTATCCAAACCTTATTGGTCTGGAAAACAGAATCAACTTTTAGGCTACACCATAGGTAAATTTTTTTAATATAATAAAACAATGGCAAATATCAGTCATAAATATTTGGACCACTTGTCCGAACTTGTCGAAGGCATGAAAAACGATGCTTTGGAGCAGGCAAAAAAGGATACGGAGAAGCGGCGGAGGAAAACAGGAACGGAATACAGGAAGACACAGAGGTTCATCGCAAAAGAGGACAACAGAAAACAGATCAAAACTAGCAAGAATTTCGACAAACTGCTTAAGTAGGAGAAAAGAGAAGCAACCAAAAGATGGAAAAATGAGATCAAGAGCACCGCGGATCAGTTACGCAAACGCCGAAAGCAGATTGAGATCGACGCACGAAAGGCAACAAGGGAGGCGTAGACATGGGAGCGCGAAATCAGGAAGGAGGAGAGGGAACGACGAAAAGAGGTTTCCGACTGGAAGGCTGAAGCCCAGAAGTGGAAAAAGGAGTCGCAGAGGTCGAGGAGGAACGAGAAATCACGAGAGAGACGCAACGAACAAAACCGTAGGATCGCAGAAGGTAAGTGCAAAGGCGAGAGCAAGCTCGGTCGAATACAGTTAAAGTGGGTGACAAGCTGAGCAAAATTTGCGAAAGACCAAGGGAAATCCTGAAACACTTCCTAGCCAAATACGCCATCAAGAAAAAGGTAAAAAAGTATGTTATCAACCCTAAAGGTGCATACGACCCATCCTACTTCCTAACCATCACGGAGTATGAGGTTAAAACACTCATAAACTCCGAAACGGAACTCAGAAATGTGAGGACGTCTCTGGCTTGTGAAATGGTAAGGAGCGATCCGAAAACCGAGGAAGAAGTGACAATCATCGCCCAATTCGGGTCAAAAACCCATAAACTCATCGTTACGGAAGAGACCCAAGGCATCATGAGGGAAAAAATGCTAAGTCCTTCTCAAAGTATCAGAGGAGAGGTAGTGGGTGGAGACTACATAGAGTTACCCAGCTAGAGATCCACATCGGAGAATACCAACCACTCAGGGGTGAGAAACATAAACCCTACTTGAGTCAATAGCCAGTAAGAAGGCAATCTTCAATATGGAGAACGACGACGACGAATGCTTCAAGTGGGCCGTTACGCGTGCCCTAAACCCCACCGACACCCACCCGGAAAGAATCACAAGAGAACTCAAAGAACAATCCGAAGAGTTAATTTGAGAAGGGATCGAATTCCCAACACCCCTGAAGAACATCAAAAAGTTCGAAAAGAACAACAATACCGGCGTTAATGTGTTCAGTGCTGACGAAAGATTCAAGGTATACCCCTTACGATTATCCGGTAAACCGATCCCATAAGGCTCTTCATATGGGAAAACCACTACAGCGTCATCAGAGACATGTCAAGACTCGTAAGCTCACAGATCAACAAGAAGGAACACAAAAACTACATCTGCGACCGTTACCTAAACGCATTCGGCTCCTGAATAAGCATCTGGAGCTATGTTTGAACAACGACTACCAAAGACATGAATACCCGAAACCTGGTAGTATCACCAAGTTAAAAAATTATAGAAATACACAAACAGTTCCATTTGCCATCTACGCGGACTTTGAGTGTTATATCAAAGAATTGAATGCAAAGGAACAGAACCCTGACGAGTCAAGCACCGTTCAGTATCAGAAACACAACCCTAGCGGATTCTGTCACTACGGCAAGTGTCTCGACAACTCCATCTACAAACCCAAGCTAGTACACTACACCCAACAGTACGAGGGGCAGACATTACCAAAAAACTCGTAGACATGTTGGAAGAGGAAACCCGGGACATCTACAACAAGTTCAAGTTTAAAGAGCCTATCAGGATGACCTCCATGGATACCAAGAATCGTGAAGAAGCAACCACCTGTTGCGTATGTAAAGGAGAATTCACCCTAAAGGACTATAAAGTTAACGACCTCTGCCACTACACAGGCAAATAGAGGGGTGCGGCACATAATACATGCAATCTCAAAATGAAGAAACTAAAATTCATCCCGGTACTCTTCCATAACCTAGAAGGATACGATGCCCATTTATTCATCAAAAACCTTGGGGTAAGCAGCGGAGACATCAAATGTATCCACAAAACGGAAGAGAAATACATCTACTTTACTGAGGAGATAGAGGTTGATAAGTTTAATGGTAAGGACGGTAAGGAAAAGAAGCTCAAAAGAGAGCTAAGGTTCCTGGATTCATTCAAATTCATGGCAAGCTCTCCGGACAAGCTCGTCAAGGGTTTAGGTAAGGACAACTTCAAGAATCTAGACCTAATGACGACACATTGAACCAAAGAACAACAAGGGATTCTCAAACAGAAAGGTGTTTACTCCTATGAATACATAGATGGATTAGACAAGCTCAAAGAAGCGTCACTTCCACCCAAAAACAAATTCTTCAGCAGATTAAACAACGAAAACATCAGCGATGCAGATTATAGCAGGGCACAGGACGTGTGGAATACCTTCTATATGAAAACCATGAGAAATTACCACGATCTATACCTTAAAAAGGACGTCCTTCTACTGGCAGATGTGATGGAAAACTTCAGGAAGGGTTGCATGCCAAACTATGGGCTGGATCCACTATGGTACTATACAGGACCAGGACTCGCCATGGACGCTATCCAAAAGCTAGCTAAGGTGGAATTAGAGCTCATTTCCGATCCAGACATGTACATACTCTTTGAAAGGGTTATTCGAGGTGGAATCAGCACCATTACCAAGAGGCACGCCACAGCCAACAATAAGTATATGGTTAAGTACAACCCACAAAAGGAGAGTAAACACTCCCCCTATATGGACGCGAACAACCTTTATGGGTGGGCGATGAGCCAGCCCCTACCCATTAAGGATTTCAAATGGATGAATGACAAGGAGTTGGAAAAGTGGGTGGACCACAGCTGCATCCTCGAAGTGGACCTGGAATACCTCGACGAACTACACAACAAGCACAACGAATACCCCCTCGCACCCGAAAAGATAATGGTTAAGAAGGTGGAAAAGCTCATTCCGAACCTCAACAACAAGGAAAAATACTTCCTCCACCACAAGAACCTAAAACAATACACCGCGGAGGAAAATTCTTCGAAAAGGACTGGATGAAATAGTATATAAAACTCAACACAGACCTGCGAACCAAGGGCACTACGGACTTCGAAAAGGACTTCTTTAAGCTTATGAACAATTCAGTATTCGGAAAGACGATGTAGAACGTTAGGAATAGGGTTTACATCAGTATCGTCAACGACGATGAGAAATGCAACAAGCTGGCCAAAACGCACAACTTTTAATCTGCAACCATCTTTTCCGAAAACCTAGTAGCAATTCATATGAGGAGGACCTCCGTAAAACTGAACAAACCAATCTACTTAGGGATGAGTATCCTGGAAATCAGTAAGACCCTCATGTACGACTTCCACTACAATTACATCGAGCCAAAGAATGAGGATGATGCCAAACTCCTATTGACGGACACAGACTCCCTGTGTTATGAAATTAATACTGAAGATTTCTTCTAGGACATTTCCAACGATGTTCACGAAAGATTTGACACCAGCAACCTCGGCAAAAGCCACCCATCGGCCTTTCTACACTACTAACGGCACATCAACCACGTCATTTCAAACGTAGTGAAGTAATCAAGTCACATATTATTAGCAGTGATGAAGATCCGGGCTTACGGATCGAAAGCTTTGCAGTAATAAATTTACGTGGTGTTCCACAAACAAAACTATTATATGTTTTATCGCCATGCAAACATACAAAGAACTTAGTTTTTTTTTCTTGTCATTATGACGCTCTTTTTAAATTATTAACCCCAATATTTCCGCTGTCCTTAACAACTATAGAAAGCAACGACACATCAGAAGAAGGCGCGGCGTCATTTCAAGGGACTGGAACTAGTGTTCAATATCAAAACTTGACAAGTGAAGGCCATCCAGCTCCAGGCGTCTCGCGTGGCGTGGTGCGCTACCAAAGAGATTACATGAATACAAGAACCGCACGGATTTCATGGTATGATAGACTTCAGTTAATTCGACCATTCGCTATAGATTGGCTTCGAAACGCTTGGGGAAAAGTTAACGAGCTTGGCTTCTCTGTTTATGACGTCATGCAACGCGATCGACATATTGTGCATACAACAAGTATCACATACGATAGGTTGGGCAACTTCATGGAGGATGATTCAGCCAAAAGTCCAGTGGAGGCAAGAAGTAGTACTACTTACGATAAAGTGGAAAGACCACCAGAAGTTATATTGCCTTCACTTAGTGAGTGTGCGTCGACTACAGAAAATGTTTGATTTATGTATCAAACGACTGGCATTTATATAGTTTTTCATTCTCATATTAGAAACTGTTTTTCTACTTCTTAATACCATGTTTGTTATATTAGCCATAGTACTAGTTAAAGAGTTTTAGGCGAAGTAAGAACCATTGGTCCGAAACATTTGCGCGTAGTAACAAAATAATATAGTAAATAAATTTTAAATGTATACGTAATACAGCTATGGCATCTCCTCACCTTTCATACGATATGGAGACCATGTTTTTATACCAAGACAATGTTACCATGTGTTACACGTAGTGTAACGCACGTAGGCTACGAGCCTGCAATATAGTTTTGAAAACACAATATATTTACTTTGAAAATCATGACAATGCTCTGATTAATATACAGTGCATGCAATATTATATGCCTAAGACAGGGAGATTTCAAGCATTATAAAAATATTATAAACAAGTATTAATTTATATTATATTAATAGTTATAGTATACTATACTATATACTATACTATACTATACTATATTTTACAGTTTTATATAATATATTAAGGGTATTTTACTTTGCAAATCATGTGTAACACTCCATCCTCATATGTTCTCTCTAATTATAATATGTTTTCTATGTCCTTCAGTCCTTGGAAGTTATTCAGCCAAAATAATACTGTCATAAATCACCAAACCACATTTTCTCATCTTTGGCTCCAACACCTTGTTTGACAAATTTCGTCAAACGTCAGAATAACTTTGAACTTTCATAACATTTTTTTTCAGTCATGACGGCAGAAGAAAAATATTAAAAGTCATTAAAGTGCATATGACATGATTTTTTTTATTTTCTTAAATGAAAGAACTCTTTAAGCTGTAGGTTAACTTATTTTTCAGTTTCTTGTTTTTATGGTTTGTTCCCGAGATATTTCAATTTGTTTGGTATGTAAATGAGTGTGAATATGTCCGCTTATTTATGACGTTATGTTGGTTGCAAGCTCTTCAGAATGGTTGAATATCACGGCCATCATCTAAGATAATAATTTCTAACTTCATTCACTGTTAAATGTGATAAAATACTGGAGAAATACGTGAACTGATATCTACAGTTTTTAGAGTTAAGGTGGGGGTCTACCTAAACTTGCGATATTCCGGTTGACCACATTTGCAAGCCTATTACTCGCCACGTTTTTTAGATAGCTATACAAAACTATATATCATTAGAAAGCCTATATAGCATAGATTCTAAAAATACTAAGGTCTTTCTCATACCTGTAATATTTATCCTGCCATCTAGTAATTAAACACAGTGCATGTCTCATACAAATCACTGTTAGTTGGGAAAAAATACAGCCTTACAATTTTAATCAAATTTTACCACTAAGAGCTATTTGTTGACTACAAAGCAAGTAGATTGTTTTCAGCGATGGAATTTTTTATGCTGCATGTAGTTTTTGCACAACATTGCTGCAAAATTTTGGTTCGATTTTCTTCCAAAAATCCTGGCATGTTTCCTCGATAAAATGGCAGCATTACAACATATGCCAAATTCTATCGTTGAAAACACTTATCATGATGAGCTCTATTAACTCTGAAAATTTCAGCCAGTTTGGTCAAATTGGTAAATAATTATCTTTTTTCAAAAATGAAAAATACCACATTTCGGGAAAACGTCTAGAAAGTATAAGTTATCAAATATGAAGACGAAGAAGAAGAAGAAGAGTTTATTCGCACCAGTCAATAATACATAATTATAAATTTTTTCCACACATTATTAAAACAGAGTTGGCACAGGATATCTGAAATAGCTTTAACACTAATCAAAGTCAGATAACCTTATTAAAGTATTCGAGCCACTGTGGGTCAACATTGGGTTTAAGGTCATGCTGCACAATGATTATACAGATGCAAATTAAAATTTATAGACATATGCAAAAACAAAAGCAAGCATAAAGCCAGTAATCATTAATTATAAATTTGATTTTAGTTATTTTGAAAGCAAATGAAAAACAGAAATAAGAATAAAGATAAAGCTAGTATTCATTAATAAATTTGATTTTAATTTTTTTTTGAAGACTGATTTAGTTAGTATTTTCAAGCTATCATCTATATCATTCCAAATATAGGGTCCCTGTGATCGGATAGAACATGTACCGTAATTTGTTCTTACAATTGGTATACAATAACTAATTGTTGTTGTTAGTCTAGTACTGCACTTGTGTTTATCACTAACGAATAAGAAAAAATCGTTAAAGACAGTAGGGAGTCTATTTGTTTAGAAATCGTGCATAAATAATAAGTTGGACATCTTTATTATATCAAAGAGCTTTAAAATACAGATATTTTTAAATAAAGGACTAGTGTGTTCATCATATCTTGAGAAAGTGATTATACGTACTACTCGTTTCTGTAAGAGCACTAATGATTTCAAGGAAGATTCGTAGGTGTTTCCGCAAACTATGGTTCCATACGTAAGAAAAGGGTATATCAAAGAATAATAAAGCTGAAGAAGAATGTTAAATGTAACATAATATCGTAATTTTGAAAGAATGCCAATGCTCCTCTGAATTTTTTTTTAAATATTATGAATTTGAGTTGTCCAATTTAAGTGGCAGTCAATATAGATACCTAGGTATTTAACATAGCTTGTTTGTTTAATGGAGTCGCAATTGATATAAAGTTTAAGATCATGGGTAATTACTTTTTGAGGCGTACGGAATATTACGTAATTTGTTTTATCAGTATTCAAACATAGTTTTTTTGCAGACAGCCAAGAATGTACCTTAATCAAATTGTGATTTATCAGCTCCTCCAGCCTCAATATACTATCATGCGAAAAAAATAGATTTGCATCATCAGCAAACACATGAAAGTCAAAAAGTTCAGAGCAATTTTCAAAGTCATTAATATATAAAAGGAATAATAACGGTCCTAAAACAGAACCTTGAGGCACTCCACAGGAAACATGCAATCCATCTGAACTAATACCCGTTATTGAAACATACTGCTTTCTATTTAACAAATATGATTTAAACCAATCTTTAGCAATGCCCCGAATTCCGTAGTGCTCGAGTTTTGTAATCAGTATATCATGATTTACAGTGTCGAAGGCCTTACTTAAATCTAAAAATATTCCACAAGAGTATTGTTTATTTTCGACTGCTTTTTGGATTTTATCAGTAATAAGTGTTACTGCTTGTACAGTGGAGTATCCCGACCTAAATCCGAATTGGTTTTCAGATATTATATTCATTTTCTCAACATACTTCATCAACCTCCCATACATTAGTTTTTCCAATATTCTATTAAATATAGACAATAAAGAAATTGGTCGATAATTATTAACATAGATTGCAGAGCCATTTTTTAATACTGGCACTATCTGAGCAATTTTAAATTTATCTGGGCCAACACCAGTGCTAAAGGAACAATTATACAAAATCTCTAATGGTTCAGATATATTGCAATATAAAATTTTTAGCAGCTTTGTTGGAATACTAAAAGGACCACTTGTTTTTGATATATTGAGTTTGGCAATTTCCAGTTGAATCTCATTTGCAGTGACTGGTGATAGAAAAAAGCTAGTTGGTATTGAACAATCCATGTATTCAAGGGGTGAAATATCGTTAGAACTAATTGAGTCAACAATTCTTGAACCAATTTGAAGAAAAGTATTTGTTAAATGTTTCAGCAATTGTTTTAGTATCTGTGATTTCGATATTATTCTCAACTATTTTACTTTGTATTCCCTGAGTGCTCTTCGTTTAAGGATTAATTATGTCCCTAATTCCAGTCCATATTTGTTTTAAATTATAAGAGTTTTCTTTAAAAAAATTTTGGTAATAATTTTTCTTGCTCAATTTTATAAGTTTGCCAAGTTTATTGCTATATCGTCTGTATTCCAAAATTAGAAATTCATTATTACTTCCTAACTGTTTCCTATATAGTCGATTTTTTTGTTTAATAGACACTTTTATTGCTGAAGTGATCCATGCTTTAAGGCTAAAACTGACATCTTGTCTTGATAATTTCTTAAGTGGTGCATGATTTTCAATCACCTCTGAAATCTTGCAGTAAAAGCTGTTAAAAATATCATTCACATTATTATTTTGTGGTAACGTTACATTCCAATCAATTGAAGAAACTTCATTAATCAAAGAAGCCTCATCAAAATTAGCATAGTCTCTCTTAAAAATATTTGTTTTAGAAATTTTACTTATGTTTTTATGAATTATAAGGAAATTTGGTAAATGGTCAGTCAAATCTGAAAATATATTTCCACTTATAGTATGATAGCCTAATGAATTTATAAAGATATTATCAATTAAAGTTGCACTATGATGAGTTATTCTAGTGGGTTGAATGATTTTAGGATGAAGATTGTATGTAAACATGGTATTAACAAAACTTTCAGTTGGACCATGTGTTTCATAGTTTAGTAGATTAATATTAAGATCTCCCATTAATATTAATAATTTATTCTCATTAGCAATTTTGTCAAGGATAGAGTATAAATAATCAGTAAAATTTTCAAAGTTTGCTTTTGGGTGTCGATAGAAAACACCACATGTTATTCCCCGATCATGACCTTCAATATCAATCCACAATGCTTCGAATTCATTTTTTGAAGTGCACAGATCATTTCTTTTCGAGTATTTTAAATTATTGTTCACAAATAATCCAACCCCACCAGCATTTGATAGAGAAGGTTGTGATAAAAAATTATACCCACTAATGTGAGTATTAATTATACAATCTTGTTGCTGTTTTATCTTTGTTTCCGAAATTCCAATCACAAAAAATGGAAACTTTACTTGGGAGAGTAGTAAAGAAAGTTTATCAATATTGGCTGCAAGACTCCTAATATTACAGTGTATGGTTGAAAAAAGATCATGTTTGGATAAAGAGGAAATTTCCCTACAATTGAGAAAATCCTGCTCGGAATAATAATTAAAATTTATCTGACTAGGAACATGTTGATCAATATCAACATTTTGTAAGATTCGAATCTTTGATATTGCTGAGGCAACATCAAAGCAAGGCAAATCATTTAGATCTAAGTCACTCATGATTAACATTAAATATACAAGTTCCATCTATTATTAAGCCTTGTACTAATTTACCACACAACAAATATTAAATAGATCTTGAATGTTCTCGATAAGTATAGCTGAGCTGTCTTTATCCTTACGTAAATAGATTTTCCCATAACGTGTCCATATAAATTGAAAACCAATTTCCCTTTTCTTTTCAAGACATGCTTTAAACAGAAGCTTACGTTTCTTAGTTAAGCTCTCCACCATGAAAATCTTCGATTCTACATGTCTAGTGTAGCCAAGATCTTTCAAACTGACATTTCTCAACTTAGATCTTGAAGTGTACAGCTTATCTCTAATATCTCGTCATGTAAATTTAATAATAATAGCTGGCACTGGAATTGTACTGAAAGAACGACCAGAACGGGTACTGCCAGCAGCTGGGGTCCCCAAGCGATGAGTAATAGATATATCAGTTTCGGTAATATCAATCCCAAGTTTAGATGCCAATTTTATGACAATTTCATTAGTATTCTCGTCAGGAACCAAAGGAATCCCTCTTATTTCGACACATTCTCGTCTTCCATACTACTCAAGTTCGTCTTGAGCAATTTTTAACAGATCATTTTCACCGTTTGTGTTAGCAAGATCACGTTTTAAAATAGAGTTCTCATCTTTTAGCTTTTTCATTCCTGCTTCCATATTTATAGCTTTATCATTTAGCTCATAATATTTTGCACTTAGAAACGATAACGAACACATAGCTTCATCAACTTTAGAATTTAAATCGTCGAATTTCGAGAATAAAGGCTTCAATTTTCGATCAAAGATAGCCTCCAAATTTTTTCTTTCTATTGCCATATTGACGAATATGCTTATAAGGACATAAAAACATATAAATAATTCCCTTGTAGAATCCGACATATTTATAACCTATTTTATACCTATTTTTTTCTCTATTTAGCCCTATTTTTTCCGTATTTTTTCAAAAATATGTCTATTTTATTACTATTTATCAAATTTCATAAAATAGTATATGACTATTTACTCCCTATTTAAAATATAGGTTATATATATTTTTCAAAAAAATAGCTTTTAAAGAGATATTCAAATCCTATTTGAAAGAGTAATTGACGGAATCTCACTATAAAATAGCTTTTAAATAGCTATTTAATTCCTATTGATGACAAACCTGTCAGTTAGAATAGTTTAAATAGCTATTTTTAAACTATTTTTGCACATCTTCTTTGGAGCCATTCTTAACATAGTTATTAAATAGCAAAATAAGTAGGTCTTAAATAGCTATTTGATTCCTATTCATAGAAAATTGTGGCGAACTTTGTTCAAAATAGCTATAAAATAGCTATTTTTAAACTATGTTTGCTTTTATTTTTGGAGATATTATTGAGTATTGTTAAAGTAGTTATTAAATAGGAAAATAAATAGATCTTAAATAGCTATTTAATTCCTATTCATAGAAAGTTGTGGCGAACTTTGTTCCAAATAGTTATTAAATAGCTATTTTTAAACTATGTTTTCTTTTATTTTTTAATTTTTAGAGCCATTCTTAGAATAGTTATTAAATAGCAAAATAAGTAGATCTTAAATAGCTATTTAATTCCTATTCATAGACAGTTTGGTCAAAATGGGTATTAAATAGCTATTTTTACACTATGTTTACTTTTATTTTTAGAGCTATTGTTAAAATAGCTAATAAATAGCACAGTGCCTTTTTTAAGGAATTTTTACTAGGGAGGGGGAGGGGGGGCAAAACAGGAAAAAAGGCAGAACGAAAAATATGACCCATCGAAGTTTGGCGAACACGCGAGTCTGAAGAGAGATTTTGTAAAACTTGAATTTATTAACTTCTCCTATATAGACAATAACTTCAACCCTTTGTAGCTATAATCGTACAGCTATAACCAGTGGCGTAGCCAGACCTTAATTTTTTTTGTTTTTTTGGGGGGGGTTCGAACAGTCTAGGAGGGTCCGGGGGCATGCACCCCCGGGGAAATTTTCAAATCTAGGGTCCTTGAATTCAAGCGTTTTCAAGCATTTTGGGAATGAAATTCCGAAGAGTTCCGAAGATTATAAAGTACATCGAAGACATGAATTTTTCCAGACATTTCTACTCGGAATTAAATAAATTGGAACGGTCACCTTGAGGAGACTAGGAGGAGGGGTCAGTGTCACCTTATTTCCTCTCTGTGATGCTGGGGGGGGGATCCCTATGTGATTTTGATCAGAAATGTTGCATTTAAATCATTTTCGATTCTATGAGACACCAGTTCCGCATTCTCAAAATTGCGTTGCTTTTTCATACGATACAGAATAAATCTGAGAAGAAACATTCGTGCTATGATGATGAATACATGTATTTAACAGTAAAAAATTTAAACTAAATCTATTCTTCTTGGAACCAGCATTTTATCGGATTGTTTGCATGAAATCTATCGCTATTATGAAATACTCGGTGAAGAACAATATGAATTACACACAAGATAGCTGTGGAGGAAGCTATGGAAGGGCATAATCTCATTATCAAGTAAATCAACTGCAATTCTGACAGCAATCATGAGCAATTCTGCTTCGCACTTCGGGGGCAGAAATGGCTTTACTGGGGGGGGGATTCTTTCCCTGGGGGGAAATCCCCCCCCAGATATATAGTTAAAAAAGGCACTGAAATAGCAAAATAACTAGAAAATACATGCATGCAGAAACCCTCGCCTTGCTGACAAAACATTATGTTTTCTGAATATGAAGAATTGAAAGTAGTTGTCATGGTAACACGATAATTTTAAGAATAGTTTTAAACCTGGTTTTAAAATTGAAAAATCCCCCCCAAGTATCACTTTTAATAACAAAATTATCAATTTCCCAAACATATGTATGCCAGGTATGTTAGTATACGTAATATAAGCATTAATTTAATGTAAAATTCAACCACAAACGCATCGGAAAACATTTTAAAATGTTGTCAAAACTAAACGGCCTTTTATCGAACTATTGGTAAACATTGAGTTTGAAATAAGCTGATTTCAAATTCTCGCATGAAAATAACTTTGCTTTCCTCTTTATTTAAATACTTTAATATACAAAAGAAAAGGTAATTGATAAAACTACACTGAAATTATATGCTGTCTTTTTTCACTTATATACGCAATGATAGGTTTAGTTCGATATTCGCCGTATCGCCCACCACTATCAGTTATAAATATATCAATTATAAGTCAAACAATACATCAATATTTAAAACAGACTTACCTTCGTTAACGTCGGCGACTTTGCTCTATTCTTTTAGACGTTTTTAGACGTTTTTGGCTCTCAGAAAGGTTTTGAAATTTACAAAATCTTGCTAAAATACAACTTGCAAGAAATGTACTTTATCATATACTCAAAGGCCGTCGGGTTTTAAAACAATTATAAAATAAATATTTAAAACAAACTTACCTTTGTTAACGTCGGCTCCCTTCTTTTAGCCCATTCTTTCGTCTTTTCTTTCTTGAAATTTACAAAATCTTGCAAAAATAAGATATATTTGCAAGAAATTTATCAATCATCAAATCAAGAAATGTTTGCTATTTCGCTGTCGTCATGCTGTCGTTATAATGCAAACTTTAAATTGGACCAATCAGTGTCCGCTATTCATGACAGTCCGCCATATTTTTGAGATCAGTGAGGATGACCACCCACGCACAGTGACCCACGCCCGCGATATTTGATGAACTTTAGACTTCGCTAATGCTTTCGTTTCCCCGGGTGTAAATAGCCGGGGGGAATTAGTACCCTCACACGGCGCTTCGCGCCGTCGGCTCGGGGATTAGATCTTAAAAGTTATTTATTTTCTATTCAAATAGAAAGTTGTGAGAATTTAGAAAGGGTAAATGTATTTATTTAACTGGTCAAAATTTCCCAGTTTGAGTTAGTTAATTTTAATTTTTTCATCAGTTCATTGAAATTATATTTACAAAAATATTTATAGTCTTTGTGGACTTTGTGGAGGTAGTTATTTTGTCTCTTGACAAAACAGCATTTTTGACAAAACACCATGCCATGAATACCATGCCACCAAAAATTCTTACGACGAGCGCAGTTTGACAGACTGGTGCCTAATTTTCTTACAATGCGAGCAAAGCTTTCTGGGATAGCGTCACAATTCACAACGCCATATTTTAAATTTTTTTTGTTTTAAACTTTCCGCTCAAAATGGCTCAAATACAGAGCTTTTATTGAGCGAAACTGTTACTTATTGTAAAGATAAAAGATCCGGGATGACTGGGAAACATCCAGGTAAGAATTTTGTTATGTTTTATATATAAATAGAGCAATTTTGAAAGGAAATATTTACTATCTTCATTCGTGAATTTTGAGCACATGTTCCGGCTTAAAATTTGAATTTGCTTCGACAATATTTGAATTAAAACAACATTAGTTTTATAGAATGGCTTACATTTGACTCAGCCTTTATATTTATAAATGATGTTTATTGTAATGCCAAATAGTATACTTTGATCTTTGTGTATACTATTGTGTATATGACAGATTGCCAGATTCCAGTGTTTGTTGTATAAAATAATATAGCTTGACATGATGGCATCTACTCAATTCTCATATGCCTACCCAGACATGTCCCAGCTAAACATGGTTTGAGAAAATTTATCGACTGGTTTCAAATTAACTGGTACTTTCATAAGATCCCAATATTGATTCATATATAGGTGGGTGAGTTTAGTATAGATAAAAATATCAATTTGATGTGTTGTGGCAACTTGATTATAGACATGTCCCTAACTGAAAACAGTTAAAGTCTTTAGTTTGCTTGTTCAAACTTATGAATACATTTAGTTAATACACCACATGTTCTGCTTAATAATATATGTAACAACCTTTGGGCTACATTTTATATATTTTAGAGACACCCCGGCAAGGGTTTGATTGTTTTTGGAATTACCCATTTCACTCCAATGAGCCCAATATTCAGCACTTTGTTATTAAATGTTATCTTGCCTAATGCCGGACAATTTTATTCATCAAGGGAAGTGTCTAGCTAGCGTACTAGACTCTCCCCATGTTTCATGTTGACATCAAACACTTCCTACTTAAGAGGCAGTCTCTGTAAAAGCGGTCCACTGCATTTCGGATCAGGAAATAGTTTTCTCCCAAACTTTTACCGTGAAATAGCACATACCAGTGAGTCATGAAACTGAGTTTGGTTTTTCGATTTTCATAAAAATAATTTTTTTACAGCGCTTTAGTTCCAGGCGACCGTCTTCGCTGAATTTGCACTTTTCGTCAACTGAAAATTACACATATTTAAAACATTACAGCTCACGGAATATAGAACTCTGCACCAAGATCTATTTTCCCAGTCTTGTACATTCATTCAAGTGCAAAATTCAAGCGAAATTTTGAATGTCGAAAGAAATGCGGGGGGAGGAAAAAATACGCAATGATACTCGTTTTACGGCTTTCTTAAAATCACGACAAACTGACCCTCAGAAAATAGCTTTGATCTCCTAAGTCCAGCACTGAAAACCTAAAGCTTCTATACCAATCTACTAATCTAAGGATGTATAAAAAGGATTGATAAAAACATTTTGCGCTTTTTATTTAAATTCTGCACAACAACCTCGGACTTTCTGTGTTTTTGATGCAAAATTACATTTATTTAATTAGGCGGTAAATATAAACTGTAATGAAAGACTGTTTATATTTGCTTCAATTTTACTGCATTCGGATTTAAAGCATTAAATATTTTCTTATTTTCAAATTTAAAATTCAAGAAATTTATTACTAAATGGTGCCGGACGGCTTTGCTAGCTGAAGTGTTTTATTGTTCGTGCAAAATACTTGACTGTTTA